CAATTCCTCCAGACGCGCGCGCAGCCACGCAACAGTGGGATGGTCATCACCCTGGCGCAGGCTGCCGCTGTAGCCGGGTGGTGTTTGCCAGATAAGAACATAAGTGCCGAACCACGCGTCACGTAAATCTCTTGGTGATACGCTGATGTCCTGCTGGCCAAGCCTCAGTCTATAAAGTTCGCCATCGTAGCCGAGCAGGGCAGCATAGTAGGGACTCTCTTGTGTGTCCCACAACTCAAGGATGACCGGGCTGTTGAGCGAGGTGACTTCGCTCCAGCTTCCGTTGCGACTCAGACACTGTAAGCCAACCTGGGGTGCAAAATCGCAGGGAATCTGATTGTTATCTAGGTTGTAATCAGCGGACCATGCCGCAAACACCGCGCGATAAGCGGCACGCTGTAATTCGAAAGTTCTGCCGGGCGGGCGAGTCAGGGTTGCCGGCGCTGTCACGGTGTCGCGCTCTGCTGGTTGATCGATTATTTCTGCTGAATTGTCGGTCTGAGTGTCTGTCACATTTCCCGGGTCGGCTACCGCAGATGGTGAAGTTGTTGTCGCTTGCCGTTGGGTGAGTTCCTCCGCAGTGCCATTCTGAGCTGTTGGCTGGGTTGCACTTGACTGTGTAACAGCGGGCGTTTGATGTCGTGTCAGGTAAGCCCAGCTCATGGCCAGAGCGACCAGGCAAATCAGCAACCCCGCACCCAGGTAATATCGCGATTGCGGGTGTCTGGGTTTTTGCCCGAACACTTCTCGAGCACCATTGCGAACCATGGCGGCTGACACCTGGTATTTGCCTTCGACATACGCGCCCAACAGGGCACGATCTGCAATCACGTTGATCAGGCGTGGTGTACCTTTGGATAGCCTGTAGAGTGCGTTTAAAGCCTGGTTTGTGAAGATGTTCGGACTGCCACCCGCGGTAGTCAGACGGTGGTTAACGTAGGCGTGAACGTCTTCTTTTGATAGCGGTGTCAGGTGATAGCGTGCGGTTATGCGCTGCGCTAACTGCCGCAGCTCGGTGCGGTTCAGCATGTCGCCGAGTTCGGGTTGGCCCAGCAGAATAATCCGCAACAGTTTTTTATCGTTAGTTTCTAGGTTGGTTAACAGACGGATCTGTTCTAACACTGCAGGGGATAAGTTCTGCGCTTCATCGATGATGATGACGGTACTGCGTCCGCTGATATGAGTTTTCAGCAGGTGTTTATTCAGAACATCGATGTACTGCTTCACGCTCTGTAGCGGCGCAGGGCCGTAGGCTACGCCCAGTTCATCACACACCGTTTCTAATAGTTCCCTGACCGTCAGTCTGGGGTTGAGGATGAACGCAACGTCAAGCTCCGGTGGGGTGCGATCCAGCAGGTTGCGTAACAGGGTTGTTTTGCCCGTGCCCACTTCGCCGGTAATGAGTACAAATCCGCCATGGGAAAAGCCGTACATGAGATGAGCAAGCGCTTCATTGTGGGCGTCGCTCAAAAACAGGAACGCAGGATCCGGAGCAATCGAAAATGGCGGAGCGTCTAGGCCAAAATGTTTCTGATACATGGTTTAACCCATGCCGTTGATTTTTTGTTCGATGTGATTGTCTTTGGCTGCCCAGATGCTGCCAATCCATTGTCCCAGCGCCTGACGACGAGCGGTTTCTTCCGTTTCAAGTATCTCTGCTGGAATTTCATGCGGCGTCACATCCATTTCCACGCGTGGACACTTGCCCTGCAGAAATTCCCAAAATGTAGGCACCCCATCAGGGTAAACAATAGTCACGTCCAGCAGACGGTGTAGATGCTGATCCATATCCTCGAGCACATAACCCAGCCCGCCGGTTTTAGGCCGCAACAGGTGTTTGTATTCGCTGCCCTGGCGCTGTTGCTTTTCCGAAGTGCGCCGAGTGCCCTCGATGAAGTTCAAAATGGTGGTGGGATGGTTCTTGAATCCTTCACAGGCCGCAGCAACATTGTCTCTGTCTGCAGTGCGCAGTTTAGGGTTCGCTTTTATTTGTGCCTTGGTCACCCTTTTAACGTAGGGAAAACCCAGGATATACATGGCGAAGCCGATGAACGGGACCCATATCAGCTGCTCTTTGGTGAAAAATTTCAGCGGCGGGATGATGCCATACAGATAGCTTTGCAGCAGTACAATGTCTGTCCAGCTCTGATGGTTGCTGATCACCAGGTACCAGTTGTCTTCAGACATTTCTTCCTGCTGATGCCAATGCAGGTTCACCTCAGTCAGATTCAGGCCCTGGATCATTTTGCGGTTTCGCCCGGTCCACCAATAGATGATCATATCCATACGGGCGCGCAGACGATTTCTGGCTTCGCCCCGGGTCCAGCTCAATTTGATTATCCACCAGGTCAGCGGTATGTAGACAATGATGGTGTTCAAAGCAATGAACGTAATGGCGAGGATGCCTTTGAGTAGATGCATATTGGTTTCTAAGCTTTTGGCAACCAAAAGCGTAATGGTCGCACCCAAGCGACCTGGCAGCAACAGACGTTGTGCACTGGTGTTGGTTTCGCTGCTCATGCTGGCAGGATGCGATACCCTGCATTTCTATCAACAGGCAGTTGCCGGTCAATGGCAATTGCTCAATGCGCGTACCTCCCTTGAGCAACTGGCCCAATCTGCCACTGTAGATGAAGCGACGTTGCAGCGGCTTGCGCGGGCTGAAGAAGTGCTCGATTTTGCACAAAGCACGGTAGGGCTGGCAGCGCAGGGTCGTTACAGCAGCTACGTCAGCCTGCAGCGCGAGTATGTTGTGTGGAACGTGTTTGCCGCCCGGGCATTTGATCTGAGCGGGGAGCAGTGGTGTTACCCGTTCGTGGGTTGCGCGCCTTACAGAGGTTACTTTCATGAAGCCGATGCACGCGCGTTAGCGCTTGAATACGAAACCGAAGGGTATGAGACCTATGTCGGCGGCGTACCGGCTTATTCCACCCTGGGCTGGTTCAATGACCCTCTTCTGGATACCTTTATCTTCTGGCCGGACGCAGACCTTGCTGCGCTTTTGATACACGAGTTAGCCCATGGGCGTGTCTGGGTGCGCAATGATGTTGCCTTTAATGAAAGTTTTGCAGAGTTTGTCGGGCAGACGGGGGCGCAACAGTGGTTGCAGGATCAGGGCCTTGGACAGGACTGGCAGGTCGCGCAGCAGCAGCGCGCTCAGGGGCGGCGTTTCCGTCAGTTTCTGGTGCAGGCTAAATCACAGTTGCAGACCCTGTATGAAACAGTGCCGCAACCCCAGTTATCTGCGGCGAAAGGCTTCGCCGTCGCTGCATGGCAATCCTGTTACCAGGCTCATATAGATGTGCTTGGGGGCGGTCGCTATGACGAGCTGATGCAGTCCCATTTCAATAACGCCCTGTTGGTCTCAGTAGGTACCTACGCCGATTACCTGGGCAGCTTTACCGCGCTGTATCGACAATCAGGAGAGCAGTGGGCAGAATTTTTCCGTGCAGTTGATGCGCTTGCTGAACTGGCTCCGCCGGAGCGTGAAACCCGGCTGCAGTTACTCGCCGAGCAGCAGAACGCACATACTGCTGATAACAAAAACACCGAGCAGGTTAACTGCGAAACCTTCCTGGGCCATCGTCCGTACGGAGAACCTGCCACTTGAAAAGGTGATGACGTTGGGTGGTGTGGCTACGGGCAGCATGAATGCGCAGGATGCGCTTAAAGCGGCTGGAATCATAAACAATTTGGGGTCGGTGCCTGCGCCTAAAGCGGCAGCCGCAAGAATGGGCATCAGCAAAACGGTGGTTGCGGTATTGCTCGTGACTTCGGTTAAAAAAGTCACCGAGACGCAAATGATCGCCACCATCAGTAGCAGCGGTAATGTAGACAGGTGCTCGAGGCTTGCGCCGATGGTGCCGCTGAGTCCGGAGTTCGTGAAGGCGGTGGCAATCGAAATGCCGGCGCCAAACAGAATCAACATGCCCCAGGGAATTCTGTTGGCGGTTTCCCAATCGAGCAACTTGTCACCCTCGCCGTTGGGGACAAGGAAAAGTGCAACCACACCGATAAACGCAACAATGGCATCATTGCTGTAAGGCAGATTGAGCCAGGCAGTCCAGCCACCAAATGGTTCTGAGCGGGTGACCCAGCATAATGCGGTGAGGCTGAAGACCGCCAGCACCCGCTGTTCCGACTTGCGCCAGGCGCCTACTTCCGGGAGGTGGAAAGAGCCTGTGTGGTCAAGTTTTCGGGTCACCCACAAACCTGCGAGCGGCAACAGCACCAGCACCACTGGAACAGCCCAGCTCATCCACTGAGAAAATGAAATAGTCTGTCCGACGATTTCTTCGTAGACCCCCATAAAGACAACGTTAGGCGGAGTGCCGATAGGTGTGCCCATACCGCCTATGCTTGCCGCGTAGGCGATGCCGAGCAGTAGTGGTGTGGCAAGTTTTTCATCATCAGTGTTGTCGATAACAGCAATGGCAACGGGTAACAGCATCAGCACAGTTGCCGTATTTGATATCCACATGCTTAGGACGGCGCTGGCAGCCATAAAACCAAACACCAGACGCTTGGAACTGTTGCCACCAAAGGCGCGGACCATAGTCAGAGCAATGCGCCTGTGTGCGCCACTTTTTTCCAGCGCGGTGGCCAGCAGGAAACCGCCCATCAACAAAAGCACTAACGGGTGGCCATAAGCAGCACCCAGCTCGGCAGGGGTTAACACACCAAACAACGGTAGGAGCGCAAGGGGTATCAGCGACGTGGCGGGAATCGGAATGGGTTCAAACATCCACCACAACACAACCCAGAGCGTGATGCCCAACGTGATACAGGCTTCGGGGCTGCTATTTCCAGAAAACCACATGAGGCTGCCAGCGATACATGCGACAATGGGCCCCAGGGGTAACGCCAGTTTTTTAAAGTCCGGGTAACCGGTTTGTGTTTGCCCTGGTGGGGTCCCAGGCGTATTCCCTGGTGTATTCAAAGACGATCATCCAAGTGCGTTGGCTCATCTGGCATAAACGTGAGAAACGAGGGTAACCGACATGGCTAACAGTTTCTATTGGTACGACCTGGAAACCACAGGTACTGATCCGAAATGGGATCGTATTGTGCAGTTTGCCGGTCTTCGTACTGATGCTGATCTGAATATTCTAGATGACGAGTTCAGCACCTATGTTTATACGCCGGATGACGTGTTACCTAATCCCCATGCCAGCCTGGTCACCGGTATTACCCCTCATCTGACCCAAGCACGTGGCATACCTGAAAGCGAAGCGCTGCGTAAAATTAATGACATTTTCATGCAGCCGGGTACCTGTGTTGCGGGCTACAACAGTTTGCGTTTTGACGATGAGTTCATGCGTTACTCCCTTTATCGCAACCTCCTGGACCCTTACGCGCGTGAGTGGCAGCAGGGAAATTCACGCTGGGATCTGATCGATCTGGTCCGTGCAACCGGCGCATTGCGTCGCGAGGGTATCAACTGGCCAGAGGATGAGGATGGCTTGCCGGTGTACAAATTGGAAGAGCTGACCCGCGCCAATGATATCTCCCATGGGCAGGCACATGACGCCATGTCGGATGTGCATGCAACTCTGGGTATGGCGAAGTTGATCAAGAGCGCTCAGCCTAAGCTGTTTGAATATTATTACTCCATGCGACACAAAAAAAGCGTTCGCAATCTGCTGGAGCCCGTTGGTACAAAACTCAATGTGCACGTCTCCGCGCTGTACCCACGGCATCGCTTTGGTGTAGGTCCTGTCATTTCGATTGCCCGCCACCCCAGTAACGGGAATGCCATGATTGTGGCTGATCTGGGTGAAGACATAGAACCCCTGCTGGAGATGAGTGCGGATGAAATCAGCGCTGCGTTGTTTACGACGGATGGCGGCGAGCGACCTCCGTTGAAAGAAATACGCATCAATCGCTGTCCGTTTGTGGCACCCATTGAAGTACTCAATGAAGAGAATCAGCAGCGCTTGCAGATTGATCTGAAGCTGATTAAAGAAAGGGCGCGCAGGCTCAAGCAGCCGGGTTTCGCTGATAAAGTTGCGAGGGCGTATTCGCAGCGCAAAAATCAGCCTGCCGTTGATGTCGACGCTGCGCTATACGATGGATTCCTGCAGGATGATGATCGCTCTCGTTGCGCGGCGTTACATGAAGAGTTGATTGCCGGCCGCTGGCAGGATCTGGATTTTCGAGACAAGCGCCTGCACACCCTGGCCGCACGTATGAAAGCACGATCTTATCCTGCGCTGCTTGATGAAGCTGAACAGAAACAGTGGCGCAATTTTGTGATTACAAAACTTGAAGGGGATGGCGATTGGCTGAATCTTCGCGACTACGAGGCGCTGATTGAACAATTGTTTGCGCAGCCTGATATGTCTGTTGAACAACATCAGATTATGCAGAAGCTGGCAGAGCACGGGGCTGATCTGCGTGCCCGGTATGGTTTATGACGGCTTGTGTTGAGTTTCTCAAGGTCAGCAAACGCTACGACCAACTCACGGTGCTGGATGATGTGTCAGTCAACTGCCCCTCTGCAGCCTGCACCGCCATAGTTGGCGCAAGCGGCAGTGGTAAAACCACAATGCTGCAACTGGTCAATGGTGTTGTCCGGCCAGATAGCGGCACGGTTAAAGTGTTTGACGAGCAGGTACCCGACAGCGAGGTTGAGCATTTTCGCCGCAAGATAGGTTATGCGGTGCAGGGCGCTGCGCTATTTCCCCATATGACGGCATGGGAGAACGTTACTCTGGTAGCGCGCCTGCAGGGAATCGCTTCTGATGAGATGGAGTCTCGTTATCAGCAGCTGGTGCAGGATATGGATCTGCCCGAAGACATCCGTCACCGCCTGCCCAGGGAACTTTCCGGTGGGCAGCAACAGCGTATCGGGTTGTGTCGCGCCTTGATGTTAAAGCCCTCGCTGCTTCTGCTGGATGAGCCCTTCTCCGCAGTGGATCCTATCACCCGGGTGGATATCTACGATCGGTTTGCTTACGTGCAGAAGCATGAAGGTGTCAGTAGTTTGCTGGTGACCCATGATCTGCGTGAGGCGCGGCGGCTGTCTGACTATCTGATTATACTGCACAAAGGGCGGATTCAGCAGCACGGTTCAACTGTTGATGTGCTGGGCGCCCCTGCTAACGACTATGTGGAATCGTTAGTTTCGAGTCAGCTGTCATGAAGAGATGGCTGATGCTGGTCGCCGTCGTGTGCTTTCTTTCCGTCAGTCTGCATGCGCAGACAATCCGGATCGGTAGTAAGAACTTCAATGAAAACTACATTCTGGCGGAAGTTGTCTCGCAACTGCTTGAAGTCAGAGGGTTTACCGTTGAACGAAAGTTTGGCCTCGGTGGCACTCTGATCTGTTATCAGGCGCTTGTTGCGGGGGAAATCGATATCTATGTTGAATACACCGGCACGCTGAGTCAGGCAATTCTCGATTTACCTGGTAATCCTGATCGGCGCGCATTGAACGAAGCGCTGCAGCCGGTTGGCCTGGAACTGTTAAACGAGTTTGGTTTCAACAATACCTACGCGATAGCCGTGCAGAAGCAGGTTGCCGAAGCGCGCAACCTGAAGACCATCGGGGATCTGGCCGCACACCCGGACCTGGAAGTGGTGGTTTCCCATGAGTTCCTGGAGCGGGGAGATGGCTGGCCTGGCTTGAGCCAGGCCTACGGTCTGACAGCGCCTGTCAGGGGGATCGAACATGGCCTTGCTTATCAGGCCATCAGCAAGGGTGCAATTGGCGTGACTGATGTATACAGCACGGATGGAGAGCTGATTCGATATGAATTGACTGTTCTGCAGGATGAGCTGGATTATTTTCCACGCTACTATGCTGCGCCTCTGGTGCAGCAGACACTTCCCCAGGGTGCTCGTGATGCGCTGAGCGTGCTGGCAAACGTCATAAGTGATGAAGCTATGCAAAAACTCAATGCCGCTGTGGTTTTTGAAGGTAAGTCGTTTGCTCAGGTGGCATCAGGTTTTCTTGCGTCGATCGATGTTGAGACCACGGTTGCTGAACCCTCCATGTGGCCCTCGTTGATGAGAAATACGCTGCGCCATCTGCAGTTAACCGGCATCGCGTTGGGTTTAGCCATTGTGGTTGGTCTGGGCCTGGCGCTGTTGGTATATCGGGTCGATTGGCTCAGTAGTAGTGTGATTTACGTCAGTGGGCTTTTGCAGACTATTCCCTCAATAGCCTTGTTGGCATTGATGATCCCTCTGTTTGGCATAGGTATGCTGCCGGCCATCATCGCGTTGTTTCTTTACTCTTTGCTGCCGATACTGCGAAACGCCATTACCGCGCTGACGCACGTAGACGTGACCCTGATTCGTGTATCCGAAGCATTGGGGCTGACGAATAAAGAGCAGCTCAAACACGTGTTGCTACCTCTGTCAGTGCCCGCGATCTTTGCCGGGATCCGTACCGCAGCAGTAATCAGCATAGGGACAGCAACGCTGGCAGCATTTATAGGTGCAGGCGGGCTGGGTGATCCGATTGTGGTTGGTTTGTCTCTAGATAACCCGGAGCTCATTCTGCAGGGCGCCATTCCGGCAGCACTTCTGGCTATTTTCACCGAGTTGGGATTTACCCTGATAGAAAAGCGCTTGAGTCGACGGCGCTAACCGGTTGTCTTGCGCTGGGCAAGATATTGATCATAGCTCGACGCCTTAGGGTCAAAGTCGATGTCCGCAGGCGGGTTCGCTGCAATGCCCGCGTACCACGTCTGTTGACCCTGAATAACGGTGGCGGGCAACATCGCATCGTCCCAGGGGTAGGGTTCGAAACCGAGATAATCTTCCGGCCGTTCGTGCAGGAAACCAATACTCTGACCGCTGGTTAACTGTTGCATGATGTGTGCAGGCGCCTGGTGTGCCTGTGCCCTGGCGATCTGTTCGCGGCGCTCGGATTCACTGTAAAAAACAAGACGCAGCATGCTGCCATTGGCACGCAGCATCAGATACCCATAGGGTTCGCTGACCAGATAGTATTCAACAATATGCTGCGCTTCGATAACGCTGTGAAAGTACTCTGCCACGCGTTCTTCCGTCATGAAGCCGGGTGGGTTGAGCGCGAGATTGGAGCTCAGGCGTGCACTGTACTGGTCAAAGTAGGCTTTTTTCAGCGCCTCAGCATAGGGAATAATTTTGTTCCCGTCTGTGATCAGACGTTTGGGTATATATGAATCGATTAAACCCTGGTTAAAAGCAGCAACTGCGGTTTTTTCTTCAGCAACACCGGTGAGCAGTGCTTTTTTCAAAGTCTTATCTTTGATTTCTGCGCACAGCTCCAGTCCATCAAACACCGGCATGGCGTAGTCAATCATCAACACCGACAGGCGTCGAAATCGTTCAATCAGTTTGATTTCATTTTCCAGAACGGACAGATCCAGCCGTATGATCGGTGTTGATGGGTCACTGTTGTCGAGGCTGAAACAACGGTCAACCAGGGGGGGTAGCGGATCGGGTGTGTTGATGGCGGCGATCGCTTCGTCGGGGTGAAGGTAGCTGATAAACAGATAATCATCGGGTAGATCGATACTTAACGCACGCAGGAAAGACGCGTTGTCGTCGATAAAACAGATGGTTGTCGGGTGATAGTAAGGTGGTAGCTGAGTGGCCATATCAGTTAATCAGCTCTAACAATGCCAGACGTTTTTCCAGCGGTAAGCGACGAAAGGCGCGCACCAGATGCTCTTCTTCTGCCGCGAGCGTGCGGCCAAAAAGTGACTCTATTTCCTGGTGCATAGCGGGCGCCAGTTGTTCAGCAGAATGTTGGGTGGGGATGCCGCTGAAGGTTTGCTCCAGCCGCGCTACAATCTCCGAGTTCATACTGCGACGATGATATCTGGCGGCCTCGGCTACCTGGTCTCGCATGAGGAGCGGCAGGCGCACGACAAATCGATAAGGTTTTTCTATCAGATCCATAGCTACTCACCGCAGTTCGCAGATCTGACCCTACCGAGGATCAGTGTTGGTGGCAAATGGCGCGGTGTGCGCCACAAACAGCAAAACAGGAGCGATATTTTGCAACCTCTAGAAAGAGATAACATACGTCTGGCCGCAACGGTTATGTTGCTTCGGGATACACCGGGTGGTCTTGAGGTATACATGGTACAGCGTCCTGGTCGAGGCGACTTTCCGGATCTGCATGTTTTTCCCGGTGGCAAAGTGGACGAAGACGACTGGGCGCCGCAGCATTGTTTTGGTGTGGATGATCAACAGGCCAGCGCCAGGCTGGGTGTTGCTGCAGGCGGCCTGCGCTACTGGGTTGCGGTTGCAAGAGAGTGTTTTGAAGAATGTGGTGTGTTGGTTGTGCATCAGAACGGTACGCCTCTGGATCTCTCTGAATCGCACGTACGTGCGAAATTTGTCGATTATCGTCAGCAGCTGTTGGCTGGTGAGATTTCGTTCAGCAGCTTGTGTGCAAAAGAAAATCTGACTGTGGCCTGTGATCGGCTGGCGTATTTCAGCCACTGGATAACTCCGCCTGTCGTTCCCCGTCGGTTTGATACCCGTTTTTTTCTGGCGGCGTTACCTGACCATCAGATTGCTCTGGCAGATACGGATGAAACTGCCGATGATCAGTGGGAAAAACCTGTTGAGGCACTTGCCAGATCGGCTGCCAAACAGTGGCAGATGATAGATCCCACCCTGCGTTCATTGGAAACGTTGTCGCAGTTCTCAACAGTGTCCCAGGCACTCGCTGAGGTGAAACAGGGTGAACATCTTATGCCGTTGACGCCGGAGTTGAATCGCCAGGGTATGCAGGCGCTGCGGTAAAGCATGACAAACGCGGTTGTCGTAAAGGGTCTGAATAAGTCTTATCAGGATGGACAACAACGTATTGATGTCCTGCGCGATCTGAACCTGACATTGCCCGCCGGCCAAACCCTTGCAGTGATGGGGCCAAGCGGCTCAGGAAAATCTACCTTGCTTAATATTCTGGCAGGATTGGTCAGTGCTGATGAGGGCTCGGTGGATTTGCACCTTGACAATCAGACTTATGCCCTGCGCGAACTCAATGAGCTTGCTCGAACGCGACTGCGGCGCAGTTACATAGGATACGTTTACCAGTTTTTCAATCTCGTGCCGACACTGACGGTGCTGGAAAATGTATCTTTGCCTGCCCGGCTTAATCGGCGTAATGACCTGGACCTGTCGGCGCGTGAACTGTTAGCGGCATTTGGCTTGAAGGATCGGCATGATGCGTTTCCTGAAGTGTTGAGCGGCGGAGAGCAGCAGCGCGTGGCAGTGGCCCGGGCGCTGTTGTTAAAGCCACCGTTGCTGCTTGCAGATGAGCCCACCGGGAACCTTGATGCTGTAAACGCTGATCAGGTCGCTACGCTTTTATTCGATAATGCCAAAGCGCTGGGTCTGACAGTTATTGTGGCCACTCATAGTGAAGACGTTGCCAGCCGTGCTGACCGTCGCATTCATATGAACCAGCGCGGAATCTAACGCTTTGATTCTGCTGGCGCTGGCCAGGTTTTTATGGCGTTCACCCTGGTCAACGGGTATGGCCTTTTTTGGCGTTATGCTCGGTGTGTCGTCAATTGTTGGTGTCCATCTGATCAGTGCATCAATCGCAGCTCAACTTGATGCCCTTATCCCTTCCCAACTGGCTGGCTACAGCCACTTTCTGCATCGCGCAGAGGTGTCTGCAGACGACTATTTTAAACTGCGTCGTCAGTGGCGTGAAGGTGGTTTGTCGAGTGTCGATGAGGTCGCGCCGTTGATTGATGAAACCGCTGTTATCGACGGGAAAGAGATCAGAGTTGTTGGCGTGGATCTGCTCAGCCCGCTAGGTGTGCGTTTATTGGGGGAGGCTGGTCAGACGGATGCGGCGGGTGCCCGCAACACATCGATAAGTTCGACTTTCTGGCAGGGTATCTGGGTGGACGAGACTTTGATGGCTCTGACGTCTGCGCCAATCAACGCTGTCATAATCGCGCCTCCGGGTACCGTGATTGCCGACATCGGTGTAGCGCAGAATTTACTTGGATGGTCTGCCGATCAGCTGTCTTACGTGGGGATTGTGTACCGGTCTAAATGGCAGAACGTTGTAGATATCGGAGAGCATATCCTGCCGGGTTTTGCTGCAGGGTTTCCGCTGCAGCCTGTTGCACAGATACCCTCAGGGTGGACGGTGCTCAGTTTGTCAGCGCAGCATCCGGCCAGTTCGTTTGGCAAGTCCGTGCTGTTCAATATCAGTGCGCTGGGACTGCTCGCATTGCTGGTTGCCTGGTTTCTGATCTATCAGGTGGCAGTTTCCTGGTTACGACGTCTCTGGCCCGTCTTTGAACGTCTGCATGTGCTTGGCGTGCCGTGGCACTATCTGCAGCTCACCTTTGTTGCAACACTGCTCCTGCTCGGTATTCTGGCCGCATTGTCCGGTTTACTTGTCGGTCGAGCTCTGGCCGTTGCGCTCTATCAGCTGGCTCTGCCGCTGCAGGCGGCCGATATGCACCTGGATATATGGGTTGTTGGGAAAGCGCTTCTTTCAGCCGTCTGTGTGTGTGGGTTAGGCGGTAGCTGGGCCTTTCGGCAAGCCAGGACGGCTACGTCAGGTGCTGCCATAAAGTTTTTAGTACCTGCGATTCTGTTACCCGCAGGTGTGTTGGGTGTCATGTGGGAAGCGACAGGCCTGGCTGGGGGCTTTGTAAGTATTGCCGCTATCAGCCTGCTGGCAGCCTGGGTAGTGACGCCGTTGCTCAAATCCCTGGCCCGATGCAGCCCTCGCCTGCCGGGACCCATTCTGGTGCGCCTCAGCTTGCGGGAAGCGATCTGGTATCCACGTGATATGGGCGTGGCGTTGGCAGGGTTGATTCTGGCGGTTGCCACCGCCATTGGCGTCAGCTTGATGGTTGACAGTTTTCGCAGCGACTTTGATCGTATGTTGGGCCAGCGCCTGAGCTACGACCTGGTTGTGGAAGGCGGAGTGCTGGATCTACAGAGGCTTGACAGGGAACTGGCAAATAACCCTGAGGCGCGGCGGGTACAAAATTATCGTCAGACCCAGCTGCGGGTGGCGGGTGTGCCGATGCAGATTGTTGCAAGCCAGACAGATCAACTGGAGATGGCCCGCTACGGCTACCCGCGGGCACTGGCAATTGATGAAGTTCTGATCAGTGAGCAGGCCGCACGTGCTCTGGATCTTGGCGCGGGGGATTTGCTCAACCTGGATGGCTTGCCGTTCAATGTGGTCAAAGTATTCACCAGTTTTGGTGACGTCACACCGCGCCTTGTTCTCAATGAGCAGGTTGTTGCCTCTGAAAAAGCTGCCAGCGCAGGTGGGACATTGTCTAATACACCTCTGCCATGGGTTTCATTGAGCATCAATGCTGATGCTCCTGCAGCGCTGCTGAGCCAGCTAAAGTTGGACTATCCAAGCTTGGATTTCCGCCTGCAGAATGACATCCGCACCCTTGCGTTGGACACCTTTGATCAGACATTTGCGATAACTACTGCCCTTGTCCTGATTGCTTTGCTGGTAGCCAGTATTGGTATCTATATTGCGGTCACAGCCCTGCGCCTCAACAAAAAGGTCCAGATGAGTGTCCTGGCTGCGCTGGGCGTTAATCGTCTGGAGGGTATCGGAATGGACTTTGCTCTGGGTCTCGGCATAGGTGTGGTTGCCATGCTGGTTGCTGTGCCACTGGGTGTCACGCTGGGTTGGATTCTCTGTGATGTCATTAATCCACGCGCGTTTGGCTGGACGGTCACTTTACAGCTTTCAGCCCAGGCACTGATGACCCCCGTATTCTGGGGTTTGCTGGCGGCCAGCGCGGCAGGTTTGATCCGCCTTGGGCGGCAGGAGCAGAGTATGGGGCGGGGTCGTTAACGTTATGGTTTATTCCTGGCAGAAACGTTGCAGGCCTGGTTTTGTCTGCTTTGTCTGTTTGTTGCTGGTGGCCGGGTCAGGCGGTTGCGGTCGCGAAATACAGCCGCAGGCCACACCTGTAATGGGCGTGCGCATCAGTTCCGTGCTTGGCGAGGGAGCACAGGCCGGTTTCCGTAAGGCGCAGTCGCCGCGAGATTTTGTGTTTCCTCAAGATCATGGCCCGCATCCAGGCTATCGCAGTGAATGGTGGTATCTCACTGCGGTTTTGCAGGACGTCGATGGTCGTGAATTTGGCGTGCAGTACACGCTGTTCAGGCAGGCGCTGACACCAACCCCCACGGGTGCAGGACCCTGGCACAGTGGCCAGGCATTCATGGCCCACGTAGCCGTCACCGACGTTGACAACAAGCGTCACCTTCACGATCAGCGCTTTGTGCGCGGACATCCGCAACTGGCCGGCGTAACAACAAACAATGGCTTCCGCGCCTGGCTGGAGGACTGGGTGTTGCAGGGTTTGACGGTAACTGCCGAGCAGTTTGATCTGCAGTTGCAGGCACCAGCGAACCAATTCGACATAGACCTCAAGCTGCAGCAGCAGCAACCGATTGTGCTGCAGGGTGACTCAGGTTTGTCGCACAAGGGCGTTGGGTCAGCCAGTTATTACTATTCAATGCCGCGTATGGCGATCAGCGGAGTGATTGAGGTTGATGGGCTCCGTCATGAAGTGACCGGACTGGGCTGGCTTGATAGAGAATGGAGTACCTCTGTCCTGCCTGCCGGGGTGGCAGGTTGGGACTGGTTTGCGCTGCAGTTTTTTGATGCGAGCAGTCTCATGGCCTTTCGCCTTCGTCGCAGTGATGGTCTGCGTGATGAATATGATCACGGCCTGAAAGTGCCTGCGTTCAGCGGATCTGCAGATTCAACAGACGCCTCTGGCACTGTGCTTGAGACTGAGGATTTTGAGCTCACACCTACTGGATACTGGGTTGATAAAACCGGCGTTAGCTGGCCTGTGAGCTGGCAGCTTGATGTACAAGGCGAACAGTTTTTCATCGAAGCGCTTGTTGATGATCAGCTGATGGACACAGGCATTTTGTACTGGGAAGGTATTGTTGGGGTAACAGATGTGCAGGGTAAATCTGTAGGCCGTGGTTATATGGAATTAACCGGTTACGATACTCATCCCGCGACACCCAACCCTTGACGCAAAGTGCGCTATTAAGAAGGACAAACACGTGGCAGACGATAAAACTGAAGATCTGGATTGGACTCATCTGGACTCGCGATACGATCAGGAGGCTGGCTTGATTCTGTTCGAAAAGCGTATGGATCGCATGCGTAATCCTCGCAACGGCAAAGAGTTTGATCGCCTGGTGCTGGAGTCAGTGGACTGGGTCAACCTGGTTGCGCTTGACGAGGCGCAGCGCTGCATAATGATTCGGCAGTATCGTTTTGGTGTGGGTTACACCACGTTGGAAACTCCCGGTGGCATGGTCGACCCTGGCGAAGATTCGCTGACGGCTGCCCAGCGCGAACTGGAGGAAGAGACCGGCTATGTAGCAGACGCCTGGACATACCTGGGTGCGGTGGAACCGAACCCCGCCTTTCATAATCATCTGTGTCACCACTGGCTGGCTGAAAATGCCAGGCCCGGATCTGCGCAGAACCAGGGTGATGGAGAGGCGATCAGAGTAGAGTTGATGGATGTGGATCAGGTCAAACAGGTTGTGCAAAGCGGCGAGTTGAAACACGCGCTTGCGCTATCGGCCCTGTCGCGGGTCTATCAATTGTGGCCGTTGCCGTTCGCTCACGACGAGGTTGAGCCGGAATCCGGGAAACTCTAGCGGAACGGTCTTATCGAGGTTCCAGGCTGTTCAGGGTCCAGTCGTAGTCATACTTGATTCGCTCGGGCGCTGCGTTTAACAGTAAATCAGGTGTCTGATGGAAGCGAGCCAGGTAGCGCAGCAGCCCCTCTGGGTCTGCTGCGAAGTCACTGCGATACCAGTCAAAAATACTCGATAACACCAGTGAGCCGGATCGGTTGTCGACACCTCTCGGGTGGTTGATGTATTCATCCCGGGCAATGTCCAGCAGAGCTTCGAGGTTATCTGCACGAAACGCCTGGGTCTGTAGATTGGGACAACCCAAACTTGCGCAGTTGACTGCAAAATGAATCCGCGGATCCTGCCATATGGGTCGAAGAATGCGATGTTCTATGTCGTTCAGAGTGACTTCTTCGCCAGCAATGGTGATCAACTCGTCATCCCAGGGTCCAAAGGAGAAAAGTCCCTCACCCATTCGTCGGATAGTTTTTTTGTCCGGGTTGGTTAAGACCACTTCTACAGTCAAGGCGTTATAGAGGTTCACCCAGTAAGCAAACTGCTCGTTGCGGTCTAAGTCTCGAGGATCAATATCGGCCAGCATCTGCAGATAGGTTTGCAGCGCTGTCCGTCCCTCGCCCTCGCCGACCCGATTGTAGGCAACCAGGTTTACACCATCAGGCTGCGGTGCAAGGTACTGATCCAGAAAGCTTTGCCACGCAGAATGGTCAATCTGGCGGGTGCTGGCAGGATTATCTTTGGCCCAGAGCGCCCAGGCATCAGTATCTGGCGCGGCGGTTACGTAGCCGGTGGTCAGACAGAAAAAGCAAAAACACAGGAGCTTGGAGCAATAGCGGGCAACAGTGTGGTTCACGTCAGGTCAGTCTCTCAAATGGCGCCAAATTATGACCCTGATTACCTCGGATTGTTCAATTGTTCCGGCTGGCGCGTGAAGGGGCGGGTGATGGCACAAGATCGTCAAAAAACAGGCCTTTACCTGCCGCTCCAATCTTGTTCAAATTGCCTGAGAGATGTAGTTGCCGATTTATTTTTAATTGCCGGGCGTTTAGTTAAGACGTCAGGAGCGGTGGTGGTACCGGTTGGGTACCCACTGTGCGGTGGTTAGATAATGGTTGGTCATTGGGGCTCAATTGACGGCAAACAATCGCAAGGTAGTAGGATCTGATGACAAACAGCGATGAATCCAATCCTCGCACTTCGTTTGCGAAGCTGATGAATCGTCCTGCGCCTGAATTTGATCAAGCCAAGATTTTATTGGTTGATGATAAACAAGAACTCCTCACTTCATTGTTTCACCTGGTTACCCTGTATGGCTACGATGCCCAGCAGGCGCTGGGCGGCGAAGCGGCTATGCAGGCGCTCGAAGGTGATCAGTTTGATCTGGTGCTGCTTGATCTGATTATGCCTGGTGTCAGCGGGCACGATATTCTCGATTATGCCGCCCGCCAAAAACTCAAATGCAAAATTATCGTTGTCAGCGGAGATTCAAGTTTCAGCGGCGTAAAACATGCTTTGCATTGTGGCGCCTTTGATTTTGTTAAAAAGCCCTATGAGGCGGCGGAATTAATCGCCACCATGGAAACTGCCTTGCGTCAGGTGCGCCTTGAGCACCAGCATGACGCCATGGAAAGCAAGCTCAAAGAATCTGAAGAGCTCCATCGATTTATCGTCAACAGCTCACCGGACCTCGTTTATATGCTGGATCGCAACGGCTGTTTCAGTTTTGTTAACGACCGTATCGAAGCCATGCTGGGTTACGGTAAAGAAGACATCATTGGCAAACACTATTCTGAGCTGGTAGATGAAGATGATCTGCTGGCTGCGGATAATCTGTTTAATGAGCGCCGTACTGGAGACCGTGCGGTTAAAAATGTGGAACTGCGCCTTAAGAGTAAGCGACGTGACTCCCGGGTGGGTTTAACCCGCACCAAGTCAGTATGGACTGAGTTAACAGCGATGGGTATTTATGCTGACAATTCTGAACGTACGCGCAAAAACTTCGCCGGCACCTATGGTACTGCGCGTGACATCAGCGAGCGTAAGCAAGCCCAGGAAGTGATCAATTTCCAGGCTTATCACGATCTGCTCACCCACCTTCCTAATCGTGCGCTGCTGAAAGACCGCTTGAACCTGGCGATTACTCAGGCACGTCGGAACAAGCGCAAACTCGGCGCCATGTTCCTGGATCTGGACCGGTTTAAGCTCGTTAATGACACCCTAGGGCACAGCATGGGTGATCGATTGCTGAAAGCGGTGGCTAACCGTTTGCAGAGTTGTTTACGCAGCGGTGATACGTTATCTCGTTTTGGTGGTGATGAGTTTACGCTGCTGCTCCCGGAAGTGCGGACCAGGGATGATGTTGTGGTGATTGCCGAGAAAATTCTCGACCGCCTCAATCAACCCTTTGTGATCGATGGGCACGAACTGTTTGTTGGTGCCAGCATTGGTATTGCCATGTATCCGGAAGCTGGTGATACCGGCGAAGAGCTGATTCAGAACGCGGACATAGCCATGTACCACGTCAAAGGCCGTGGCAAAAATGGTTATCAGTTCTTCTCTGAAGAGATGAATCATCAGTTCTCCAGTCGTTTGAGTCTTGAGCGTGAACTGCGTAATGGTCTGATTCAGGGTGAATTTGAAGTTTATTATCAACCTCAGGTGTCACTGCAGAGTGGCAAGATTACCGGCGTGGAAGCGCTGGTTCGCTGGCGCCACGGGATTCGCGGCCTGATTGAACCGCGTGAGTTTTTACCGCTGGCGGAAGAAACCGGCCTGATCACCCAGATCGATGAGTATGTCCAGCGGCAGGCTTTCAACGAAGTGGCGTCCTGGCAGCGGGCAGGATTGGGTGACGTCTGTGTATCGGTGAATCTTACAGCGATGCAGCTTGAACAGGATGACTTTGTAGAGCGGTTTGTTGCGTCGCTGCGAACCAGCGGCCTGCCAGCCAAGAGTGTGAAACTCGAAATCACCGAAAATACCCTGATGCAGGATATGGAAGTGATTATCCCCAAGCTCAAAGCAGTGCGAAAACTGGGCGCCCATATTGCGATAGATGATTTTGGTACCGGCTATTCGTCGTTGTCTTACCTGCATCAATTCCCGATCAATACCTTAAAAATCGATCGTTCTTTTGTAGGGGATATCCGTGCTGAGCACGGAGATGCAAGCATCATTGATGCCATTGTTGCCATGGCGCGGGGTCTGCATTTAGACCTGATTGCTGAAGGTGTTGAAAACCACACACAGCTTGAATATCTGCAGCAGCAGGGCTGTGAAGAGGTGCAGGGTTTTATTTTTTCCCCTGCAGTACCTGCCAGCGACCTGGTGAGTCTACTGAAAGAAAATCGGTTTGCCACAGTGCTCGGTGACGCCGCCAAGCTCGTTCCAGCCTGATCTGAAACCCCTTGTTCAGCACGTAGCGACGCGGGGGCGTTTTCCCGTATAGTTTGCGGCCCTTTGCTTTTGTCTGCTTCGCCATGAAAGGTTTCACCACAAAAATTGTGCATAACGACCGTCAGCACACCATCGAGCATGGTGCGACGCATAAGCCGATTCATACGTCAGTCGCGTTTGGCTATGCGGACGCCAGAGATCTGGCCGGCGTTTTTCAAGGCACGCAACCTGGCTACACCTATGGCCGACAGGTAAACCCTACGGTTGATGCGTTAGAAGACAAAGTAACGGTGATGGAAGGCGGGCTGAAGTCCATCTGCTTCGGTACCGGTATGGCTGCCATCGGCACGACAATTTTTGCGCTGTTGCGGCCTGGTGACCATGTGGTGTGTTCAGCGTTTCTGTTTGGCAATACCAATTCGTTGATGAACAGTTTCGACACCCAGGGTGTAGATGTCACTTTTGTTGATGCCACCCAGGCACAAGCGGTGGCTGATGCGATAGTGCCGGCCACGAAGCTGGTGTTTGTGGAAACCATAGCCAATCCGCGCACCCAGGTGGCAGATCTGCAAGGTATCGGCAAGCTGTGTGCAGAACATAATCTGGTTTACGTCGTGGACAACACCATGACCTCACCGTATCTGTTCCGTTCGAAGACTGTGGGCGCAAGTCTGGCGATTAACAGCCTGACCAAATACATCGGTGGCCATGGCAACGCGCTTGGCGGTACCGTCACTGAGTTAGGCAACTACGACTGGCGCAGTTTCCCCAATATTTACGATACCTATCAGAAAGGTGATGCGCAGCTATGGGGTATTACCCAGATACGTAAGAAAGGTCTGCGGGATTTTGGTGCGGCGCTGAGTCCGGAGGCCGCACATCACATTGCTATCGGTGCTGAAACGCTGGCACTGCGGATGGCGCGGCAGTGTGACAACGCAGCATGTATTGCCGAGTTTCTGGATGAACATGCCAATGTGCAGAAGGTTTTTTATCCTGGGCTCAAGGATCACGCGGAGCATGCGCGGGCGGTGCAGCTGTTTGGCTCTGGCGGAGCGATTCTGAGCTTTGAACTGGACCCTGATATTGATATCTGGCGCTATCTGAACCGGTTCAACGTCATTATTAACTCAACCAATCTGGGTGATAATCGCACCCTGGCGATTCCGGTCGCGCACACCATATATTTTGAAATGGGCGCCGAGCGCCGCAAAACTATGGGTATTGCGGATTCGCTGATACGGTTGTCTGTGGGCATCGAAGATGTAGAAGATCTGATAGAGGATCTTGCAGCCGCCTTCGACTGAAAGTCATTGAAGAAAGCTGAGTAAAGCGAAATTGAGACAGGGGGAATCATGGGTAGATTAGAAGGCAAAGTCGCGATTATCACCGGCGGTGCGGGTGGTATTGGTAAAGCTGTAGGGAAACGATTTGTCGCCGAAGGTGCGGATGTGCTGCTGGTTGATTTAGATGAGACACAGCTTGCTGCCGCTTGTGCGGAAATTGGCAGTAACAAGGTGAGCTATTTTGTTGGCGATGTGACCCGTATGGAAGATAACCAGGCCATGGTTGATACGGCTACCGAGCGTTACGGTGGGGTGGATACGTTTTTAGCCAACGCCGGTATCGAAGGTGATGTGTCACCCATTGTTGATTATGACGAAGCACGTTTTGAGCAGGTGATGGCGGTAAACGTGAAAGGCCCTTTTCTTGGCTTGAAAGCTGCAATTCCTGCGCTGCAGGCTCGTGGTGGCGGCAGCGTTATCATCACCTCCAGCGTGGCTGGCGTGAAGGGTGCGGCAGGTGTGGCCCCTTACGTGACATCAAAACATGCGGTGATCGGCATGATGAAATCCGCCGCCAAAGAGGTTGCTGCAGACAATATACGCGTGAACACAGTGAATCCTTCACCAGTGGATACGCGGATGATGCGAAGTCTTGAAGAGGGCATGGCGCCGGGTGCGGCAGAACAGGCAAAAGCGGCCATGGAGGCCAGCATTCCTTTAGGCCGCTATGCTCAGCCCGAGGATATTGCCAACATCATGTTGTTTCTGGCCAGTGATGACGGTGCGTTCGTGACCGGGTCTGTGTATCTGGCTGATGGCGGCAGTGTTGCCTGATCTGCTGTTGTTTGGAGGTTAGGCTATGACGTCTGCGCTACTCCACACAGACCTGTCGTTACCCAATAAACGCTCGGGCAAAGTTCGGGATCTATACGATGTGCCGCTGCCCGATGGTAGCCAGGCGCTGTTGATCGTCGCAACGGATCGAATCAGTGCGTTTGATGTTGTGATGCATAATGGCCTGCCCGGTAAAGGCATTGTGCTCACCCAGATTTCCAAATTCTGGTTCGATTATTTTTCCGCTGACGTCAAGCATCATCTGCTCAGTACAGATGTTGCTCAGGTGCCGGGTCTTTCAGCAGCGGAACAGGATCTGCTGCGTGGACGCATTATGCTTTGCCGGCAAACTCAGGTGATACCCATTGAATGTATTGCCAGAGGCTACATTACCGGCAGCGGTTGGAAAGATTATCAGGCAACAGGGAGTGTCTGCGGCATCTCGTTGCCACAAGGGCTGCAAAACAGTGACAAACTGGTGGAGCCGCTGTTCACGCCTTCTACCAAAGCCGCGAGTGGGCACGATGAGAATATCAGTTTCTCCCAGGGAGTTGATCAGGTTGGTGAAGACCTGATGCAATGGCTGCGAGGCACAACCCTGGATTTGTACTGTCGCGCGCGCGATTACGCCAGCGAACGTGGCATCATCCTCGCAGATACTAAATTTGAGTTCGGACTTGTTGAAGGACAGTCCGAGCCTTTGCTCATCGATGAAATATTTACACCAGACAGTTCGCGCTTCTGGCCAGCACAAGCGTGGCAACCGGGCCGGGAACAAGCCAGCTTTGATAAACAGATTGTACGCAACTATCTTGAAACGTTAGTAAAAGAGGGTGACTGGGATAAAACCCCGCCGGGGCCCATCCTGCCCGAGGAAGTGGTCGAAAAGACGTTAGAAAAATATCTGCAAGCTTATGAAATGCTGACAGGGCAATCCTTGTCTTTGTAACATCGGATGGATTGGCATACCTATAAAACCCTGTCCGATCATCCGTTGTACTGGACGCGCTGGATGTTGGAACAGTGCGTAGATTTACTAAGACAAATGCAGGAACAGCAACTCGCCGGGTATTTGCAGGCAGCGTTACGATCTCCACCTTTGCCAGTACCCGAGGATCACTTCGGTCCTGACGCTACACGTATGTTTGCCGTGCAGCTTAGCATTGCAGACGGGAAGCGTATGCTTGAGGCGATGCAACACGCAGAGCAACAGGGTCTATCTACCAGTGCAACTGCAGGGCGGGGCCTGGGTGGCTTTGTTGCTGCATGGGCGGAATATGGTCAGGCTCAAAAGAACATGGATCTGCTAGCGCCTTTATCAATATGCAAAGAATAGTAATTGCTAATCGTGGGGCGATCGCCAGGCGAATAATTCGCAGCTGTGAGGCATTAGGCATCGAATCGGTGGCGGTTTATTCTGAGGCTGACGCAGGTGCGCCGTATCTGGCTGAAGCCAGTCAGGCTTTTCCGCTCGCGGGTTTCCTGCCGGTGGACACTTATCTGAATCAGGACGCTCTGCTGTCCATTGCGCAAAACTGTGGCGCTGATGCTGTGCATCCAGGCTATGGCTTTTTAGCTGAGAATGCCGGTTTTGCCCAGCGGGTTATCGATAGCGGTATGACGTTTGTAGGTCCGGCACCGCATTGGTTAGCGGCAATGGGAGACAAAGTCGCCGCGCGTGCGCTGCTTGCTGAGCAGGGTTTTCCCATGTTTGCCGGGTCCGGTGAGGTTCAGGATTCAAAAAGTGCTGCTGCTGCCGCTGATGAGATCGGCTATCCGGTTATGGTAAAACCCAGTGGCGGTGGTGGTGGCATGGGTATGCAGATTGTTTATGAGCCTGCGCAGTTGGAGGACGCTGTTTTGCGGGCGCGTGCCATTAGCGTGAGCGCCTTCGATCAGGCGGGTGTTTACCTGGAAAAATATATAGAGCAGCCGCGCCACATTGAATTTCAGATACTCGCAGATGGGCAGGGTAACGCCATACACCTCTACGAGCGTGATTGTTCTGTGCAAAGGCGTAATCAGAAGCTGATCGAGGAGTCCCCGGCGCCAGGGCTCTCGGCGGATTTGCTGGAGCGCCAGGCTGTCAGAAGTGCAGAGGTCTGCGCTGGGCTTGGTTACAACAACATCGGTACGCTGGAAACCTTGTTTACACCTTCCGGAGATATGGGTTTTCTTGAGATGAATACCCGCATACAGGTTGAACATGGCGTGACGGAAAGTGTAACAGGCTGTGATCTGGTGGCGCTGCAGATAAGTTTAGCGCGGGGTGATGCGTTGCCGGTGCAGCCCGAGCGTTCAGGCTTTGCCATTGAAGCACGCCTCTACGCGGAGGATGCAGCGACGTTGCTGCCCTCAACGGGGCGTTTGTCCGTGTTCCGTCCGCCGCAGATGTATGGTGTGCGTGTTGAAACAGGCTATGCTCAGGGACAGCTTGTCACTCCCTACTACGATGCCATGTTGGCAAAAGTGATTGCTCATGGGGAAACTCGTGAACTGGCGATAGGCAGGCTGTGTGTCGCGTTGCAGGCTTTTGCGGTTGAAGGGGTTAAGACCAACGCTACCCTGTTGCGCCGTATTCTGCAGTCAGCAGATTTTATGGCGGGTCGCGTGGACACAGGTATTGTTGATCGTCTAATGGGAGAGAAATAAATGGCTAAACACGAAGTGGAAAGTGAAGTAACCGGAAACGTCTGGAAAGTTCTGTTGTCAGAGGGTGCCAGCGTCAGCGAAGGGGATGTCATCATGATTCTCGAGTCCATGAAGATGGAGATCCCGGTGGAAGCCACCTGTAACGGTGTATTGGAACAGGTGTGCGTGCAGCCTGAAGACCAGGTTGAAGAAGATCAGGTACTTGCGATTATTGAGGGATAAGACTCATTCTTCGAGTGCTGCATTAGCCCAATAAGGCAGTACTAGCTCAAAGGTTGTGCCTTCGCCCCAGGTGCTGGTCACGCTGATACTACCTGTGTGCCGTTCGATCACTGTTTTTACAAATCGTAAGCCAAGCCCCGCACCTCGATTTTCGGCCAGGCGTTTTTCGGAAGAGCGAAAAAACGGCTCGAAGATATGCGGTAACTCTTCAGCGGGAATGCCATAACCCTGGTCTTTAAATATGACATGTACTTTGCTGTCTTTGATTTTAAGATCAATACTAATGGTGGTGTCGGGCGGGCTGTATTTTATGGCGTTCGTCAACAGGTTCACAAAGGCGCGCTCAAGGAGTTCGCCGTTTGCATAGAGCCAGATACCATTGTCTTCAAGTTCCGAGTCGAACCCTGCGCCCGTAGAAATGGTAATAGCCTTTTCACGGCTTAAGGTGAAAGACTGTTCGATGGCGTTGTAGAGCACCTGTTCCAGCTGCAGTTCGTACCTTTCAAAATCACTCTGCAACTGCAAGCGGGAGAGTTGTAAGAACTGTTCAGATGTCGATAATCCCTTCTGCGTGTATTTTTCTATATCCTCTAACAGCGGTGAAGCTGGCTGCTGACCGCGAATCAGCGCAAGCACAGAAAGTAAAGGTGAGCGGATGTCATGGGATAGAAACGCCAATGCTTCTTCTCGCTGAGCCTGCGCCGCACGAATTGCGGATAGATCGGAAAATGTAATCACCCAGAAACCCGCAAACAGCTGCGTCTGAGTGTCGGGTAACGGTTCTGCACTTACGTATACAGGTCGTGCATCGGCGCTGCGCCCCTCGAAATACACGGGCGATTTGAGCAGTACAACGTCTCGCATAATGTCTACCCAGCTTTGTCCTAAGGGTGGTGTGATGCGCGCCAGTAATGCGATAGCGTTGCCGGATTCGTGTGGTTCTGTTTCTAAAAGACCTGCAGCTGCCTGATTGATAAACCGGGTTTCTCCCACTGCGCTTAGAATCAATACCCCATTGGACATCCTGCTTAAACCCGCTAAACCCATTTCCCGGCCTTCGCGTACAGCTCTTGCCCGCGTTTCGAGGCGGCTGATCTGTGCTGCGAGAATCTCCCCTGGCAGGACAGCTTGCTCAGTCGGTGAGTTGAAATACTGCTGATTTGCTGATCTCAACAGTTCGCTCTCAGCTTCTGTTAGAGACTTTTTATGGTCGGTTTGCAGTTGTGTTGTGCCGTTGTCCTGGAGAATGGGTGTTATTGTCACGCCAAGCAGCTGATCGAGGGTTGAGATGACGGCGTTTTGACTCAGGATGGCATCAGCATTTCCCGAGCGTTTCCGCCATTTCTGCTCTTCATCATCCATACGCGTGAGCTCGTTACTGATGAACTGCCAGGCGATTTCGTGTCTGCGCCAGCTCCACAGAGGGTAGAGTAGTAATACGGCAACTGTTGTTGCAGCGCATGTGAGGTAGAGACCCTGTGACAGCAATACAGCACTGACAACAATGGGCAGCAGTGCAAATGTGACCGTCGCCAGCAGAACTTTCTTTGGTTTCAGGCGTGGCAGCATGAAACTGCAGATGCTCACCAGAATGAAACCCATCAGAATGGCCCAGATTCCAGAGATTGGGATGACAAGTTTGTCGTGAAGTATGGCGTTCAGTAGATTTGCATTAAATTCGACGCCAGATAGTGGCCCGTCTTCACCGCTTACCGGACTGGTCACCCAATCCCCCACACCACTTGCGGTTAGACCAACTATGACGGTTTTGCCCGCCAGTGCTTGAGTAAGTAACGGTCGATTGGTGGGTTGCATGAGATCCACCGCTGAAACCTGGGCAAATGCGCCGGCTTCGCCGGCAAACTTAATCCCCACATAATGGCACTTTTCCAGGAACAAGCCGCTGGGTTGTGTTTTTCTGCAATCATCTGTGGACGTCTTTGTTTTAATACCGGCCAATGCCAGCACCAGGTGTGGCCAATGGGCTGTTCCTACCCCCTGATAGAGATAGGTTCCCCGCACAATGGCGTCTTCATCCAGTTCTACATGGACGTGGCCTAACTGGTCAGCTTGGGACAACAGGTCTGCAAACGGTAGGACTTCGATGTGTTGTTGTCTGGCGCCCAGAGATTCGATCATAACGGGTAAGCTGAGTTGATCGATCTGGCTGGCTGCTTCAACCAGAGGTTTGTCGTCCGGGCTGGTGCCTGCGTAAATAATATCAACGGCTACCTTTGCAGGTTGATAGATATTGATTGCTCGCAGAAGCTCTGCCTGCACCGGTCGCGGCCATGGCCAGGGGCCGAAGGTATGAAGGCTTTTGTCGTCGATCCCAACGATGATGATGTCTTTATCCGGCTCGATGGTCATGCGTTGAATGCCGGCGTCATAAAGTAGACGATCAAAGCCTGAAAACCATTGGAAATAGTGACCTGCGCCAACAAAAAGTCCGGCTGATACCAACAGCAGCAGAGACTCAACTCTGAATCTGAACTGTGGATCTGGACGTCGGGCTGGGGTGTCTAAAACACCAGCAGCGGAAGGAATATTACGAGCCACCAGGGTTTCTGTTGCGCCTCAATTGAAGTTGTAACAGGGTCACTGTGCAGGGAGTTCTGCTCGGAAGCAACTTGCAGCTGGTAGCTGCCAAAATTGGGTAACTCGATTGTTGTGTCGCCTCTACTATGCTGTTGCTGCAGGAGTGCCCCAGTGGAATCAAGTAAATCTATTTGGTAACGGAGGCCCTCGGTCGCCGGTTCGATTTCTAGAGACACGCTCAATTTTTCCCGCGTCACTCTGATGAGTTCCGGTGGTGCCGGAAAAACCTTAAAAACCTGGGTCGCCGATGCTGCACCGTTGTCTGGTGTTACGTACCATCTATAAGTACCAGCTTTCAGGTCAGTGGTGTAAGACGTCGTTGCGCTTTCCCAGTTTTGCTCGGTTTGCCAATGATCTGCGGCAGCTACAATAGAATAACTTTCAGTTGGCCGTGTGTAGCGCCATTGCAGTGTTACCTGGCCGTCGACCCTGACAGATTCGTTAAGATCTGTAGGTGCTGGATTCAGTACGTTGATCGCCTGCCTGGCATTATTGCCCTGTATCCTGCTGCTGGAGACGCCACGAACGGAGAGCAGATAAGCCCCCGGGATTTGTGGCGGTTGGATCTGTGTCGCACTGGTGGTTGTTGAGGCGTAGACAATGCCCGGCTGAGCCTGACGGGCCCACTCAACAACATAGTCTTCAGCACCCGCCAGCGCCTGCCAGGACAATGTGGTGCCTGCTGTGACCTGCTCCGGAAGCTTGTTAAAAACAGGCGCGACCAACAAAGCTTCTTTAACAACGCCGCTGCTGCTGGCCGCCACGCCAAAACCTGCGGGCACATCGGTGCTTTGTCCCTGTCCGGAATACGCCACCAAACCTTCCAGGGTTTCAGTAGTAGATACCATGGGACCTTCATCCCGATTGATGCGCCCGACACGAAACTGTGTGCCCCGCACCGCAGCTATGCCCTCGGGCGTCTGGATGCGGAAGCGATCGCCACGATTCTGCGGTTTGACGGTGGCTTCACCCTGGCCGTAGGTAAAGCGTAAGTGAGTATCGACCATGCCTGCAGGACCAAAAGCTGTCAGCTTGTTAAACAGAACCTTGCTGTCAGGCGCGATGCTGATCTGGGAACCGTCGGCAAAACTGACCAGAGCGGCGCCCTTGGAGCTGATGACATAGTCGCCCATGTTGACTGCATCGCCCGCCTGGGCTGGAGACTGGCTGCCATTGTTCTGCAGTATCACAATATCACCGGTTACCTGCACAATGGTTGCGTTGCTGGGAGAGAAAGCAAGCAATGTGGTTGGTATAGCAATGCGTTGCCCTGCCTGCAGCTGCGCTGAATTGGCTAATCCGTTGTGATCAGCGATGACCTGCGCCAAGCGACCGCTGCCACAATAATTTTCGGCAATATCCCAAAGCTTGTCTCCGGGTCGCACGGTGTAGAGCCAGTCGTCGCCCCAGCTGGCTGGTGCAGCCAGGAGGACTAAGGTTACAAAGATGCAGCGCAAGGCACGAGCGTACACTTTCATACCTGTTCCAGACGATAGCCGTGCTGGTAGATGGTTTTAATGCGAAAGCCCTGTTCCGGGTTGATGTTCATACGTTTACGGATACGGCTGACGTGTACGTCTACAGTACGTGTGTTCAACCCGCTGACACCCCATACGTCTCTTAGAAGCTGGTCACGAGACAGCAGACGACCGATATGTCGAAACAGATACCAGGCAAGTTCGAAATCTTTACTGGTCAGATCACAGGCTTCACCGTTGAGATAAACGGATTGGCTTTGCGGTTTGAAATGATAGGCGCCGATTTCGAAGTCGAGTTCCTGATTGGCCAGACGGCGTCCTAACGCATTTATCCGCGCAAGAAACTCACCCCTATTGATCTGCTTGATCATGTAATCGTCGGCGCCACTGGACAAGGCGTTGATGATGTCGGTTTCCGCTTCCCGCTGAGTAACAAAAAGAATGGGAACATGCCATTGAATCTGATTGCGGATGTGGTGCAAAACCTCAATACCGGTTGCATCTGGTAATTCCCAATCAAGCACCACTAGATCAAAGTCAGGGTTAGACGTAGCCAGCGCTTCGATCAGCTTCTGCCCACGATCAAAGTGTCGGACGGTATGTTCGGTTGCCTGCAGCCATCCCATAAGCAGTTGAGCCTGGGCCGGGTCGTCTTCAAGGAGCCATAAATGCATAACGCTAGATTACCCCAGGTTGCCTAAATCCGTGAGACTTGAAATTGCCCGATCCATGGCGCAAGCGTGAGGACTATCGATTGCGCCAGCGGCGCCGAGATGCCGTTGCCTACAGCAACCTCACCCGCGTTGATCAGTTTGATGAAGTCCCTGGTTGATAAGCTGTTTAAGACCTGACACAGATTTCCGTCTGCGCTACCCAGTTGAGCGGATATGTCGCGTGCAATGCCGGTGATTTTCGCCGGCGGTAGTCCGTACGCTCTGATATCAGCATTCAGGAGCGGGTGTTGTTCGATAAGATTGACAACGTTCATGCTTGCAGTCGACCAATAGTGTAGTTGTTCAGTGCTTACACTAGCTGAGTCTGCGTTGTTTCGGGATAGCGATAGCGCTTTTTCGAGGTGCTTTTGCATTGGTTTTACAAATGCCGGCGTCTGCGTAAGGCGGCACCACCGATGTTTCATTGTGCTAGTATTTGCGCTCCAAAAATCCCGGAAAGACGATAAAGGAGCAGCCATGAGTGAGGAACTGGTCACTATTGACATACAGGACGGCGTAGCCGATGTCAGGCTGAACAGGGTTGATAAGTACAACGCCCTGAGTCCTGAAATGTTCGCGGCCATCATTGCTGCCGGTGAACAACTCGCCCAGGCACCTGAAGTTCGCGCCGTTGTACTCTCAGGCAATGGCCGCGGTTTTTGTGCGGGTTTGGATATGGGCAGTTTTGCACGCATGGCTGAAGAGTCTGGCGGTAATGGTGACCCTTCAGATAGCAGCTCCACTGCTGCTCTTCTGCAACGTGGCGAACGACCTGAAAATCACGCGCAGCAGCCTGCTTACGTCTGGAAACGCCTGCCGGTACCGGTGATCAGTGCGATTCATGGCGTAGCTTACGGCGGCGGCTGTCAGATTGCGTTGGGTGCGGATATCCGCATTGCTGCTCCAGACATGAAGATGTCAATTATGGAGATTAAATGGGGCCTGATCCCTGATATGAGTTTGACACAGACGTTGCGCGATCTGGTGCCTTTAGATGTTGCCAAGGAGCTGACATTTACCGGCAAGGTTCTGAATGGCCACGAAGCTAAAGAGTTAGGGCTGGTAACACATGTGTCGGAGAATCCGCTGGAGCACGCACTGCAGCTTGCGAAAGAGATTGCCGGTAAATCTCCCGATGCCATCCGTGCGGGTAAGCAGCTGCTGGAGATTGCCTGGCATGCTGATGAGCGTATCGGTCTTGAACTTGAATCGGCTTTGCAGACGATTTTGATAGGGTCACCTAACCAGGTTGAGGCTGTCACTGCCAATTTTGAAAATCGCGCACCTGTTTTTGTCGATCCAGCCTGAAGATGAGTTGGGAAGCAGAAATCAAGGAGTTGCAACGCCGCAGGTATCTGGCGAAGCAGCAGGGTGGCAAAGTGGGGATCGCCAAACAGCACAGCAAAGGCCGTTTGACGATCCGCGAGCGGATTGAGGTTCTACTTGATGAACGGAGTTTTCGTGAGCACGGTCAAGCCACCGCCAGTCCGGTTTATGATGACAATGGTGACATAGAAGATTATGTACCGGCCAACTATGTGGTTGGCTTCGGCAAAATCGCGCAACGCCGTGTGGTGGTGGGCGGCGAAGATTTCACCCTGAAAGGTGGTTCACCTAATGCAGCCGGGTTGCGTAAGAGTGTTTATGCTGAGCACCTTGCGGTGCAATACAAAGTACCACTGGTGCGCTTGTTGGAAGGTGGCGGTGGCAGTGTCAAAGGCTCGGCTAAAAAAGGCGGCACCGTCGGGGATCCTGTTTTTGCCGAACCGCGCTTTAAGATCATCGCTGATGCGATGTCCCAGATACCCGTGGTGTCTGGCGCCATGGGTGCGGTTGCTGGCTTTCCTGCCGGGCGGCTGGTGGCGTCACACTTTTCAGTGATGACAAAGCATACTGCCCAGGTCTTGATAGGCGGCCCTGCACTTGTTGAGCGTGCCCTGGGCGTCAAAATGAACAAAGACGAACTTGGTGGCGCGCAGGTGCATTCACGCAGCGGGGTGATTGATAACCTCGCTGAAGATGAACACGATGCCATCTCTCAGCTGCGGCGGTTCCTCAGTTACCTGCCCAGCAGTGTATGGGAACGAACGCCACGTCAGGCTTGTACCGATCCAATCGACCGGATGGAAGAAGAGCTGCTGAATTGCGTGCCGCGGGAATCCAACGCGCCATTTGATATGCGCGCCATAGTTAATATGGTTGTAGATAAGGACAGTTTTTTTGAAACTGGCGCTGACTTTGGTCCAAGTCAGATCTGTGGTCTTGCCCGTCTTGACGGCCAGCCGGTGGGTATACTGGCAAATGACTGCAATTTTTATGCTGGCGCTATGACTGCTGAGGCTGCGCAGAAGTATCGACGGTTTGTCGAGATGTGTGACACTTTCCACGTGCCGGTGGTGAATTTTGTAGATCAGCCGGGCTTTATGATTGGTCCTGAATCAGAGCGAAGCGGCACCATCCGCTATGGTATGGCGGCGGTTGCTGCAGCAGCTCAGGCGACGGTGCCATGGGCTGTGGTTCAGGTGCACAAAGGGTTTGGTGTGGCGACCGCGGCACACTACGCGCCAGGCAATTACGTGCTCGCCTGGCCGTCCGTCGAATCTGGTGCGCTGCCTCTGGAGGGCGGCGTTGCCGTCGCTTACCGGCGTGAGATTGAAGCTGCCGAGGACCCTGAAGCGAAGCGGCGCGAATACGAAGATAAGCTGCGCGAGGGCCGATCACCTTTTCCCCGTGCTGAATCTTTTGCAGTGCATGAACTAATAGACCCGCGTGAAACCCGTCCGATGTTGTGTGATTGGATTGACTGGATTCAGCCGCAGCTCGATACCCTGCTCGGCCCGGTACACTTCGGCATACGACCTTGAAATCTTTTTTCTGCTATCTCAACTGGAGTAATAAAAATGACAATATCTTTTGAAAATCAGGTGGCCATTGTCACCGGCGCCGGTGGCGGTCTTGGTCGCTGCCATGCACTGGAGCTTGCTCGTCGGGGCGCTAAGGTTGTGGTCAATGACCTCGGTGGTGCCATGGATGGAACCGGTGGTTCTTCCGCAGCAGCGCAAAGCGTGGTTGCCGAGATTGTGGCAGCGGGTGGTGAAGCAATTGCCAATGGGGGTTCGGTGTCCGATCGAGCCGGCGCCAAAAGCATTGTTGATGACGCGATGAATGCCTGGGGCCGCGTTGATATTCTGATCAACAATGCAGGCATCCTGCGTGACAAGTCGTTCGCCAAAATGAGCATGGATGACTTTGATATGGTCATGGATGTGCATCTGACTGGTGCCGCTAACTGTACCCATTTTGTGTGGCCCATTATGCGCGCACAAAACTACGGCCGTATTCTGATGACAACATCACCCACGGGTCTATATGGCAATTTTGGTCAGGTGAATTATGGCGCGGCAAAGCTTGCCCAGGTTGGCATGATGAACTCGCTTAAGATTGAAGGTGCGAAAAACAACATCCACACCAACACGATTGCGCCAGTCGCAGCAACGCGGATGACGGAAGATCTGATACCGGAAGCGGCGCAGGAAAAACTGGGGCCGGAACTGGTTACCCCGGCAGCTATTTTTCTGGTCAGTGAAAATGCGCCAAACGGCGTGATCATCCAGGCACAGGGTGGACAGTTTTCAATGGCGGTTATTGTAGAAAATCAGGGTGTTAATCTTGGTGTAGACGCTGATGCTGACGATATAGCATCAAACTACGAGCAGATTTCTGACCTGAGCGAAGTTAAGCCGCGTGGGATGTTGCAGCTGAGTTCGTCTTAACGCCATAGCTTGCGGGTGTTGTCGATACGGCACTACCCGCTTCGCTGGTTGTCAGCAGCGCATCCCGGTTCTGCAGCCAGTGGTGCTCCAACCGCGCGCTTACGGCGGCCAGATCCCTGGTGGCAACAAAGCGCGTCTGGCTCTGATTGATGCCCAGGCTTTCATCAAAGGTCTCCAGCGTAAGTTTGCTGACACTCTGTTTAAAGCCGGCGTGCTCGACGATGGGTTGATGTTGTCGGGTTTGTTCCTGTGGCAGCCAGACACAGGGGAAAACCTCCATTACAGAGAAGCCATGCTTGTTCTGCATGACATATTGCCAAAGTGGAAATGTTGCCATGTCTACAAAGCGCTGACTGGCTTCACCGTGAGAATTGGTAACCTGGCAATACATCAACAATTGCCGATGGCTGTTTATTTTGGTCGTGGTACTCTGCATGCCGTCTCCATGTAGAAGTGTCTTTATGCAGTTTAGTAGAGCTTCAAAATTTAACACGCAGGTGCTGTTATGGCTGTTCTGATACTGACCTTAATCACCTCATTGTTTATCGGAGGCGCGCTCTGGTTTGTCCTGGGTAGCCCGATAAAGCTCAGCGCCGATGATGAGCAGAATCAATTGTTGAATCTGATCGCCTACATGGTCGGTGCGTTACCTGTTGCCTTTGTACTGATTTTTTTCGGTCTAGGTGGGTAAAAACCTGCTACGCGTTTACCCATATGTCGAAAAAATCAGGCACGGCTAGTTGTAACCCAGCACAAAAGCCTGGAAGCCTTCTTCTTCATGTTTTTCGTCATTATCTGAACCGCGCTTTAGAGGCGGGAACGTCAAACCACGTTGACCTGCATCTGCATTAGCCGCTGCGTTGCTGTCCTTGAAAATATTTTCTGTCTGCTGAACTTTTGATTCATCCATTTTTCGGTCCTCGAAAATTGCCGTTAGAAGGTCTGGTTTTTACAGAACTTTCCGGCTTGGATGTTGGAAGGTCCTGTAGGAAAGACCTTCGCGTTAGGTCTACCTCGGTTGAGTCGCCACTTTGATCGCTAGCACGCGCAGCACAATCTTCGCCACAATCGAACAAGTCGATGCGGTTAGATTAATGTTTAGCTTTCTGCTGTTTGCGTTCACTGCTGGTATCCATCTGAGATAAACTGCGCTGACGAACCTGGAAAGGTAAGCCAACAGGCGCGGATAATAGGCCGTGTTAGACAGTTTGCCAAGGCACAAGTCACATTTTCTGCTCTTTTTATGAACAAGAGTGCACTAACAGCTCACTAATACTGGAGATAATATGCAACTTCCGTTGGACCCTGGTCTGGTCAAAGGCTTTCTCGATCCTGATGAAGGCGCCCGTCTGTTTGATCTGGCTTGTGAAGTTTCCCCTTTAGGTCCTTGTTTAGAGGTGGGCAGCTATTGTGGTAAATCGACTCTGTATCTGGGTTCCGCATGCCAATCTGTATCGGGTTTGCTGTTTGCACTGGATCATCATCGCGGTTCTGAAGAACACCAGCGTGGCGAGGAGTATCACGATCCCGAGCTATATGATGAAGTTCTGGGTCGCATGGACACCCTGCCAGCTTTGCGACGAACCCTGTCCTATAGCCAGCTGGAGAGCTGCGTTATACCGCTTGTTGGTAGTAGCGCTTTGGTTGGACGATTCTGGCAGACACCCCTGGCGATGGTGTTTATTGATGGAGGACATTCACTGGAATCTGCCCTCATAGACTATCGCACCTGGTCTACTCATATTGTCAGCGGCGGTATTCTGGCGATCCACGATATTTTTCCTGATCCGGCCCTGGGCGGCCAGGCGCCTTACACTATCTATAATCTGGCTTTAGCCTCTGGCCTGTTTGAAGCGTTGCCAGGCACCAAAACACTGGGTGTATTAAGGCGGATCTAAGGCAGATTGGTGCGTCTCAATTGTTGGATCAGATGTTTGCTGGAGCGCTGTGGTCTTTGAAAATATTATGCGCTGGTGTGATATGAAATAAGGCATCTGCAGCCAGGAGTACTGCGGCGGCAGTCCAGCTGGGTCGTTCGTCAGGCCAGTGGACGTCATCGGTAAAAACGTATCCGGTCCACCAACTTCCATCCTCTATCTGAAATCGCTGAATGTTGTTGTACAGCTCTTCTGCGGCTTTACGCTTGCCCGCGCTGAGACATGCCATGATCAGCTCACAGGTTTCCGCCACAGTGACCCAGGGCTCTTCTTCGACACACCTGCAGCCCAGGTCTGGTTCTACAAATGTATCCCAACGCTGGGCTAACCGTGTGCTGGCTGCGTCTTCCTGGATAACGCCTGTCAGAACCGGGTAGAACCAGTCCATGGAATAGCGCTTTTTTGAGGGCCAGGTGCGATCAAACAGGTGGGGTTTGGAGCGGATCGCGTGCCCCAGATGTTTGCGTGCTGTCAGCCACGGCTCTGGATCTTCATTCCTCAGTGTGGCCAATGCAGCGGTGCACTGCAGCGATTTATAGATAGAGCTGCAACCAGTAATCAGGGCATCGCGGGATATGCCTTTGACAGGATCTACCGCCCAGTAGATTTCGCCTTCAGGTGTTTGCAGATCAACAACAAATTGCATCGCCCGCTTAACCATCGGCCAATACTCTTCGACAGCCTTAACGTCATTGGTTACAGCCCAGTAATGCCAGAGTCCGGTTGCGGGATAAGCCACAAAATTGGTTTCTGCTCGGGTGTCGTCAGCCGGCTTTTCATCGTCGTAGGCCGCCAACCAGCTGCCGTCACTTTTCTGGGTATCCGACAGCCAATCAAAGCCGTGGCGGGCTGCTGCGTAGTGACCGCCAATGGTTAAACCCATGATCGCTTCAACATGATCCCAGGGATCGATAATGCCGCCGTTGAACCAGGGCAGAGCACCTGAAGAGAGCTGCAGATCAGCTATATATTGGGCGGTTCTCTGCAGGCTGGCGTTGTCCATCTACAGCTCGTTCACAAAATACATGACAACACTTTTGCCCATGATGGGATTGAGCAGACGGTCAAGCCATTGCGTGAGGGCAGGTTTCTGCATCAGATCCCACACCAGGAAGCGATGGTATGCTCGTACCGCAGCTGCATCTTCACCTCGCTCCCAGAATAAACAGCGCAACCACCAGTAGGGAACATGCAGGCTGTGCGCCCAGTGTCGCGCGAATCGCCGCATGCGTAGAGATTCGACTGCGCGGCGCAATTCGCCGCTGGTAAAGATGCGGACGTGCCCGCCTTCAACTTCGTGGTAAGCGTCACTGATTTTCCAGCAGATCCATTCGGGGAAGAACCTGGGGACGCTGGTTGCAAATATACCCCCAGGTTTAAGTACACGTCGGATCTCTAGCAGCATACCCTGGTAGTTAGGAATGTGCTCCAAAACTTCTGCGCAGATCACCTTGTCGAAACTGTTGTCCGCAAATGGCAGCTTCAGGCCGCTGGCGCGAATAAATGTGCAGTGATGACTGCTTTTGTACGGTGTCTGGTCGAACTCCTGCAGGCGTTGCTTGGCAGTTGTCAGGTCTGTGGCGCTCAAGTCGACTGCATAGACTTCTATGGGTGCTAACAGATAGGCGCTGATCGCATGTCGCCCTTCACCACATCCCAGGTCGAGAATGCTTTCTCCCGCTCTCAAATTAAGGCGGTCAAAATCAATTGTTTCAAGACTCATCGTTTTGCACCTGGTTGTAATATCCAGTTAGCCTGCTGGCTACTTTGCTCCAGCAGAACGTTTCTAACATACGTTCTCTGCCGCGAGCACCAAGCTCTTCACGTTTCTCTTTGTCTTCTAACAAGTTACTTATTGCCTCGGTCAATGCCCTTGGATTGCTTTTCGGGACGGTAATACCCGCGTTGCCGACCACCTCTGGCAGTGCACCGCCATTTGTCGCAACGACTGGTACTGCGCAAGCCATCGCCTCTGCCGCGGGCAGCCCGAAACCTTCATATTCCGAAGGTATCACGGCTATCGTTGCTCTAGCGTAGAGTTCAACGATGGTTTTAGCGCTGATGCCATGACGGAAGGTGATGGCCGGAGCGAGGTTATGCTGCTCAATCAATTTTGCCGTAGTGCCGCCGGGTTTTGGTTGACCGATGAATATTAAATGTAAATCGGGATATTTTTTCCGCAGTTCTGCGAACGCAGGTATCAGATATTGTGTGCCTTTTAGAGGCTGATCAGCACTGGCGGTTGTAATCAATAAGCGCGCTTCTCTGTGAATATGAGGCAGTGGCTTGAATGTATTGGCATCAACGCCGTTAACGATGACTTCCACACGCTCCTCCGGGACCTCAAAAGCACGGCAGATATCCCGCTTGGAACACTCGCTGACGGTGATAATGTGATCCAGTTGCCGGGCTACTTTTGTCTGCATGGAAAGGAAGTGATGCCAACGGCGAATTAACAATCGCATACCCCAGTCTGCTTCGTGAGCAAGTGCGATATCTCGATCGTAGGTGATGGGGTGGTGAATGGTGCTGACCACTTTGAGCCCCATTTTCTGCAGTTGCAAAATACCGTAGCTGAGGCTCTGGTTATCATGAATAACGTCGTATTTGTCTGCGTTTGTCTTGAAATAATTAACAACGCGACGCCCAAACGTATACGGTTCCGGAAAACCGCCGGACATTTTTGACAGCCACTCAAATGTATCGGTCGCTGACATCAGGTGACGCCAGCGCAGAGCACGGCCTGGTTGTTCTGTTTCAAATAGGTTCAAGCCGGGGAGCTTGATGAGACGAATGTTGTCGTCAAGATCGGGGTACGGTGCGCCTGAGATCACATCAACCTGATGTCCGGCATCACGCAGTGCGTGAGCTACATATTTGACGTAAATGCCCTGTCCACCACTGAAGGGGTTGCTGCGATAGCCCAGAAGTGCAATGCGCAATGGGCGAAAAGTAGCAGTATCAGAGTCTTTGAGGGGAGCAACGACGGACACCCGACACCCATTCAGTTAAAGGCGCGGATTCTAAAGATACCTATCCCAGGTTACCAGCAGGCATGCCGGGGGTTTTTGACATCTTGCGTCTTAACAATTGTCGACAACCAGTTCTGGTGCGCGGATCTTCGGATCAAGATCAGCATTTGATACGTCTATATGAAGGTGGTGATACAGGTTGGCTATCCATTGGTGACCTTGCTGAGTACGTTTCAAGTACGCAACACCATCACCAATGTAAGGCTGCACCTGTGCGTAGAAAAAGTCCGGGAAGCCTGCGCGCAATTCGCCAGGATTGTTAAACCCCATACGTGCAGCTTCGCCGGTTTCTACAAATTCTGCATACAGTCGCGACAGTTTCTGCAGATATTGAGGGTCAGCCATTTGACCGATGAGGTCTGCAGCCCGAACCAAACCCGGCAATGTGTCAGTTTCGCGATATTCTGCGGTTTTAGGTACAGGGAAGCGGGTCATTTCGATGCAGGCACCGATCAGGTCCGTGTCGAGGAACGGATCATTGGCGAACCTTTCTTTCACAAAAAGGCAGCCTCGGCTGACATGGTAAGGCGTCATAAAGGCATCTGTCGCGCCAGTGGGGATCGACACGCGCTCGCCCTGTGGGTTGATTTTTGCATCGTCCTGCTCATCTTCAGGCAACAGGTTGCGCAGATAGCCGATATCATGGAACAACATGGCCACCACAGCCTGTACCCACTGATGTGCCGTCAGGTCGCCGCGGGCCAGCTGGCGGCCATGCAATATGGTCTGCCCAACTTCGGTGACCAAAATAGTGTGATGAATATCGTGATAAGAACAATCACAGTTCAGCAAAGTTTCCAGGGATGTACGTGCAGCCTGCTGCAGTGCGTTACATTGCTCGATGCTCGCTGCCGGGAACAGTTGCTGAAATTCTGTCAGACAATGCGTAACAAACGCATCAATCACTGAAGTATTAGGGTTAAACATGCGGTGTATTTTAATTCAGCATAGCTGGGTTCATCGTGCACTGGCACACACTCTATGCGTAGACGTGACAGCAGATATTTGAATGAATATTATGCAAGATGTTCAGTTCAAATCATGAGTGAGATTCATGTCACACATAGAGTTGCGGCATTTGAAAACCCTGGTGGCGTTACGTGATACCGGGAGCCTGGTGGAAGCGGCTGAACGCGTCTTTCTGACTCAGTCTGCGCTTTCCCACCAGCTCAAGGAGCTTGAATCGCGAATTGGCTGCACCCTGTTTGTGCGTAAAACTAAACCCGTTCGATTCACCAGTGCCGGTACGCGTCTGCTTAAACTTGCGGATGAGGTATTGCCTCGAGTGCACGGCACCGAACGGGATCTGCAGCGTCTGGCCGGAGGCGAATCCGGTCGTATTTTCATGGCGATTGAATGTCACAGTTGTTTTGAATGGCTGCTGCCCGCTATTGACGTCTACCGCGACCAATGGCCCGACGTTGAACTTGATATCTCCAGTGGATTCCACTTTGCGCCTTTGCCGGCCCTGGGTCGCGGCGATCTCGATCTGGTTATTACAGCGGACCCGGTGCCTGAGCTCGGCGTGCACTATTTTCCGCTGTTCAGCTATGAAGCGCAGTTGGCGATGAGCAAAGATCATGTGCTACGGGCTAAAGATTGGATTGAACCTGCAGATCTCGCCGACGAGGTTGTCATCACCTATCCTGTGGACACCGACAGACTTGACCTGTTCACCAGTTTTCTTGATGTTGCTGGTGTAACTCCCAAGCGTGTCCGCCATGCAGAATTAACCACGATGATCGCTCAACTGGTTGCCAGTGGTCGTGGCGTGGCTTGTTTACCCAATTGGGCGCTGTATGAATATACGCAGAAGGATTACCTCGTCGTGCGTTCGCTGGGAGAAGAGGGCATCTGGCCAACTTTGTACGCTGCGGTACGAAAAGATCAGGCTCAGGCACCCTTTATTCAAGGCTTTGTAGAAATCGCTCGTGCGGTTTGCTTTGAGAATCTGCAGGGTATTGTGACTGCAGAGCTGGATGAGTTGCCCGAGAGCTGACGTTCAGGGCACCAGTGTTGTGACATGCCATTGGCCACCATCTAGTCGATAGTGGCTGCGGTCATGTACGCCGTTGTCCTGATTCAGATCTAGTCGCTCGATTTCATGTGGCACCAGACATAGACCGGATGCATGCTCGGGTGCAACCAACGGATCGGGTAGCTGTACCTCGTCGAGCATAGAAATTAGCGCCTGCCGGGAATCGATGGCACTGCTCTGTTGTGCAATCTGTTGATAGAGCCAGTCCATGCGTTTCGGCATATCCGGTCGCATCTGCCAACTCTCATGCACCAGCTCTGCCTCTACGGGCGTGCTGGTTACCTGCAATCGATACTGTAACGCCACGCTGGGCCAGTAGGTCTGTACCGCAAACGTTTGTTGTAACGCCGGCCATTTAGGGCTGGTGGCGTTGATAAAAACGGCAAGATTATCGCCTACGTTGCGCAGCACCAGGGTACGTACCTGAACACGCCCGGCATCGTCCACGTTGGCTACGGTGCAGACTGCAGCCATCGGATCTTTGGCTTCGAACGCAGCGGTCCGGTCTTCGTGAAATTGCTTTATCGGGTCCATATTAGAATCTAACGAGTGGTGTCTGCCTGAATAATCTGTACCCATCGCTCGGCTGTAATGAAGCCACTACCCCAGCTGGGGTAGTTCTCATTCAGATCCGCGGCAATTTCTGCCGTGTCGGTGCCCTGATCCAGCGCATTACGTACTGCTGCCGTGGTGGCTTTGACTACTGCAATGGTGGCAGCCAGATCTGCGCGATTGGATAGCGAACCATGTCCAGGGATGATGCGGATGTCTTCCGGCAGTTGTTCGAGTATGGTCTCTACATTGTCGATAAAACCGTCGACATCACCGCCGCTGCCAATATCCACATAGGGAAATCGGTTTTTAAAAAAATGATCCCCCATATGGATCACGTTGGATGTCTTAAACCAGACAACGCTGTCACCGTCGGTATGTCCAGCAGGCAGATGAATGACTTCAATAGTCTCGTCATTAAAGTGCAGATTAAGGTCATCATCAAAAGTCACCAGGGGCAGGCCAGAGCGTGGAAAATCTTCTTCCGCAAGAAGGCGCACGCGCACGTTATCGTGCGAGATAATGGTGCCGGTGGTACCCATCTCCGGATTAGAACCCGCATGATCGCCGTGATAATGGGTGTTCAGAATCAGTTTCGGGCGATCGCCACCTAAACCTTCTAACGCAGCAATTATTTTTGCGGCCAGGGGTGCATATTGATCATCAACAATCAGCGTGCCGTCTTCACCGACGGAAACGCCGATGTTTCCGCCGGCGCCCTCCAGCATATGAATTGAACCGGCAACATGCTGGGCTTTGATCTCTACGGCGGCGAATCGGTCAGCTGGAGCCGCGATCGCGCTCCAGGCTATCAAACTGGTTAGCACGACGGCAAAAAGAAAATATCCATGTTTCATGGTAATGGCCCTGGGTTTGTTTGCTGGTGTCAAAAATTGATGTGTGTGCCGGTTTTTGTGTGATCCGACCACGGCTCGGGGGCGCTGGCCTGATGTCTTTTCATGACGCGATACAAGAAACCGTGTCCACTTGCCCGCACAGCGTCAGTAATGATGTTTTCAGCATCGACAACTTCTGCGCGGCGAATCAGACGTTCGAAGGTGAAAATGAAATTGTTGGTGTGGCGTGCCCGCACCTCGGTGCCATAGAACAGGTCGAACTGCTCCTGTGGATCATCCGTCTCCAAATGTGTAATCAACAATCGCCGGGAGAAGGCTTCTGGATCAATGCCACTGCCTTGAGAAGAAAATAGTTCAGCCTGTTCTTTTTGGCTGACCCGGCCGCCTTGGCCGGTGCCCTGGCTTGAAATGAACAGGAGGCCGGATATCGATCCGAGTTGGCCGCGCACGGATTGAGCAATCTGCAGGAAAGCCTCCTGCCGGGCGTGTACCTCGCTGGCGGCGAGATTCTCGGACTGAATCACAGCTTGCTCGGCGCTTCGAGAAATAGCCACGGCCTGTGACCTTAATGCATCGGTATTCTGCTGAAGTTCCTTCTGCTGAAGGAAGTAGCCAATAACAAGCCATAAGAACGCCAGTGGCGCAAACGCGCCTTCCAGGAAATTACCCAGATCTTCCGCCGGAAGCCGTGTGAAGGTTATCCAGCCGATATTCACACTGATGTAGGTTACCCCCAGCAGTATCCAAATGGCGGTGATGGTTAAGCCAAACCAGATGCGCCAGTTCATAACGCGTTAGCAGTACAAATGGTGGCGCTGAAAATCAGGATGTTTCGTCGACACTGTTGCTGCCTGAAGCCGCTGCACTTTCACTACGTCGACGTATTTCGGCAATGTCCCGCTGAATTTCGCTGAGACGGAACAGGATGTCTGGCACCTGATCACTGATGCGCCATAACAGATAAGCGATTGCGGCCAGCAGCAACATAGATAAGAAACCCATCAATCATCTCCGATCAATTATTAGTGGACGGTATTCTAGTGCAGTGTATCGAATAAAACACGGACTCTAAGGAGGCCTGCAATATATTCAGCGTGTTACATGCCCAGGTGCAGCTTTATGCCAGTGACCCTGTGATTGACTTACGCTGGCTGATTTCGATCCAGTTGCCATCAGGGTCCTGGACAAACGAAATATAGGCAACGTCACCGAGCCGTACCGGCGCTGAGCCTTCACGACCGCCTTTGGCAAGTATTTCAGCATGGGTGCCGACAACATCAAAAACCTGCATGGTCATATAGCGATAACCCAGAGCGACGCGCTCAAAAGGTTTGATTACACCTTCCTGGAGCTTGATGCGGGACGCGCCCACCTGAAAAGTGTTGGCGCCATCAGTGCTCAAACCCAGTACTTCACCGTAAAAACGCGTGCTCGCAGCAAGATCATTTACCGTCATATGCAAAGTGAGATTCTGTCCTGGCGCATCAGATTGGGGGCTCATCCAGACTTCATTGCCGTCCGGGTCAAGCAGCTCAATGCAACTGTCCACGGCGTCACTGTAGATTTCCAGGGTGCTTAAACCAGTGGGATTGTCCTGCGACACGGGTTCGCGCCTGTTATTAATCTTCAGGACGCTGTCGCCGATGGCATGACGATGTTGGTGTAACCCACCGCCTACTTTCAACAATTCACTGTAGGGGACGTGGACTTGTTCCTGCCAGAACGCCAACATAGCATCTATTTCATTGGTGTAGAGACCCACGTCTAATGCAGGTTTGGCCAGTTCCATGTCGATTCCTCAGTAACCTCAAAACGGTAGATTACCTTGTTTGTTGAAGATGTGTCGCTGCCGGATGACCTGGTGGATCGCGACCTTTTTGCTGCACAGCTGAATGACATATACGGGCAGGACACAGGTGCCCGGATAATTGCGTGGCTGGCAAAGGACCACACTCGAGCCTATTGGCATAACCCGCTGCAGCCGGGCGCCACGTTAGCGATAGGTGATGCGGTACCGGGTCTTAAAGGGGTCAGGCAGGTGCCGCTTGAAGTACCACTCAGCACCGATCCACAAGCGAGCGCGGGTCAGATCTACCTGCAGAACCCTTCCAGTGTGTTTGCTGTGCGCGTGTTGAATCCGCAAGCGGATGAAGAAATTCTCGATCTTGCTGCTGCGCCAGGCGGCAAAACTCTGGCTATTGCGGCGGCGATGAATAATTCCGGGAGGATTGCAGCCGTTGAGGTGGTGCCAGGTCGTTTTCACCGGTTACGGGCAAACCTGGAGCGGTGCGGTGTTACCAATGTTGAGTTTTACCTCAAAGATGGTCGGAGCGTCGGCAGGACGGTACCGGAACGATTTGATCGCGTGTTACTGGATGCTCCGTGCAGCTCCCAGGCGCGCATGCGCTGGGACAATCCCGCCACGTATACACATTGGTCTTCACGTAAGGTCAAAGAATCCCAGCGCAAACAGAAAAGTCTGTTGCGCTCGGCGTATGCCGCGCTGAAACCTGGTGGTGTGCTGGTCTATTCCACCTGCTCGTTCAGCGTGGAAGAAAATGAGCTGGTGGTGAATCATCTGCTGCAGCGTAGCGAAGCGCAATTGTTAGCAATTGATACGGTTATAAGCAATGTTCAGCCTGGTCTCACTGCGTGGCGCGGAAGGTTGTTGCATGCTGATTTACACCGTTCGATCCGGGTTATTCCTGATGGCGTTTGGGATGGGTTTTATCTGGCGTTATTGAAAAAACCCGATTGAAACCTCTGTTTTACGGAATATATCGGTTATTATCCGATATATAAAGATTTGGTGAGAATATATGGAGATTCGTAAGACAAAACAGAGATATCGTGTGCTGCAGGTTCTTGCGCAGCAGAAAGTCTCACACGGCTTTGCAATTGCGACGAAAGCTCAGCTCCAGGTAGGCACGGTATACGGCATTCTTATGGCATCTGAAGAAGGCGGGTACGTAGCAGGCAGGTGGGACGAATCCGAGCCTTCTGGTCGACCGCGAAAAAAACTCTATCGTCTCACCGAGACCGGTGTTGACCTGCTGATGCAATATCAGGCGCATTTTCCTGCAGAGGAATCTTTAGGGTTCTTTGGCACCATTAATCGCGATCTGCACCAAGCGATAGATGAGGTGTGGGGCGGCATCTGGCAGGTCTCCGTGCGCCGAGAGCACGACAGGCAAAAAGCAGCTGCAGAGTCGGTAAAAAACGAGCGACGTAAGAACGCTTCGTCGGCCTGAATCAGATTGTTTTAGGCGAATCCAGGCTGATAAAGGTGGCCTGGCCGGGTCGTAAATCGCGCCAGTCCTGCTGAGTTGAAAACAACACGGTGCCAAATGTGACCAGATTGTCGGTGATCTGACTACTGCCTAACACGTTGGCCAGGTGGGTTAAGCCGGGGTTGTGCGCAACCACTGCAACGCTCTCCACCTCTTCAGGGGTTGATTGCAAGACGTCGAGCAATGCATCGGCAGAAGCCAGGTACAGACGTTTGTCTTCAACAAAAGTAGCATTGAAGCCACTGGTGACGTACGCCGCAGTCAGTTTTGCCCGCACAGCAGCACTGCTCCACACCCAAGTAGCCTTATGAGGTTGCTGACTGAACCAGGCTTGCATGGTCTCGCCGTCGCGACGACCGCGCTTGTTTAAAGCGCGGTCGAAGTCAGGCTGGCCAACTTCCGGATCTGCGGATTTGGCATGGCGGATCAGGCGTATATATCGCGTAGTGGTTTCTGTCATCGCTTCTTAGCCCGCCTCAGTCATACAGTGCAAATAGATCTTCCAGTGCCTGCAGCTGTCCACCTTTCACGGCAGAAGGCACAACAATCGGGGTCTTAATACCGGCGTCGAACCAGGCTTCAATGCCTTCACGCACTTCGCTGGCGCTGCCGGACAGAGTGGTGTCTTCCAGCCAGCGATCAGATAAACATTCAGGTACCCGATCCAGGTCTTTGGCAGCCAGCGCTGCTTCAACACCGTTCATCTCTTCTTCGTAGCCGGCTTCTTTCCAGTAGTTGCGATAGTTGGGTAGAAACGCGTAACTGGTCAGGGTTTTGCGATTGACCGCCATAGCCGCCTTTTTGTCGTCGTTGATGCAGGTCGGCACCATGTTACCGATAAAAAAGTCCGCTCCCATCCGGGCACCGTCAGAAAGCACGCCTAGGGAACTGGACATATGTGAACGGGCGCCGTTGGCAAATACCATACCCTGAGCAATTTCCTCCGCCAGGGCGATCATTTTGTTGCGTAATGTCGCCAGAACAATCGGCGGCATGTCGCCAACCCTTGGCACTGCGTGGATATCTTCCACAAACTGGCGCATGTCACCCAGTGGTTTGCCTTGTTTGATACCTAAACGGTCCATAGCAGGCGCATGGCTCACACCAACGCCAAAACGGAAGCGGCCATTGGAGATTTCGTGGATAAACCCTGCGGTGCCGGCAAAATCTGCAACGTTCCGAGTGTAAATAGGCGTGATGCTGGTGCCTATGTCGATACGATCGGTGGCCATTGCAATGGCGGTGCACAGTGACAGGCTATCGCCCAGGCTGGGGCCGTAGATGCCGGGGAATCCGCGTTTTTCGATTTCCTGAGCGATTTCGATAATGCGATGTCGGCGGCCGGGTACAGCTGCGAGGCTGACTGCAGGTAGTTGTGTCATGGGTGGTTCCCCTCACCTTTGATAAAAGAGCCAGCAAGAGTAAGGAACAACAGACAAAAACGCCACTGGCGCTCGGTGGAATTTTGCTGTTTCAGAACAGGCTGTGTTTTGCAGCCGGTCGACGTATCAGGTGTTTGCGCGCTGCAATCAGGTCGGGTCGTTTGAATACAGTGACCAGACCCACCCCAGCGACAAAACCGCCAACGTGCGCCCAGAAAGCAACACCGCCGCCGCTGGCACCAAGAGACCCAACACCTGATATCAGCTGCAGCAGAAACCAGTAGCCGAGCATAAAGATGGCAGGTACCGAAATGGTGGTCACATAGATGAATAAGATAATCAGCAGATGAACGCGTGCGCGTGGAAACAAGATGGCGTATGCACCCATGACACCGCCAATAGCACCGGATGCACCTACCATAGGTACCGTAGAACCCGGATCTGCCGCTATCTGGGCGCCGGCGGCGGCCAGGCCACACAATAGATAGAACAACACAAACCGGCCGGGACCCATAACATCTTCGACGTTGTCGCCAAACACCCACAAAAACAGCATATTGCCAATGATATGCAGCCAGCCGCCATGCATGAACATGGAGGTAAACAGACTGTTTAAGCTGCTATCGCCATCAAGACGACAGGCCCAGCCATCACCCAGGGGGATTTGCGTGCCGACGGGTACCGTACCCAGTAGATCCGCAGGTATCAGACCGTGCAGGCAGATACTCTGCCCCAGGGCTTCGCTGGCGCCGAACCCCTGCACAAATACCCACACAAACAGGTTCATGCCTAAAATGGCGTAGGTTGCAATCGGTGGCCGCAGGGTTGGGTTTTCGTCGCGAATGGGGAACATGCGATTTAGACCTCAGGGGCGGGGTGGCAGTTCCTCGAAGTCCCGCCAGTCTGCCCAGCGGCGCTTGCCGTGTGTCTTGATCATGGTGCGCTTGATGTCCGGGTAGTGAACGATATCTGTCGCCCAGCGCTCGCCGCCCATCAGATACACCAGGTCTTCCTGGTTTGGGTTGTGCAGGCTGTGTGCAGGTGAGGGTGCGGGAAATCCCATGAAATCCCCTGCACCAACGCTGAACGTTTCATCGCCAATTCTGGCTATGCCCTGACCGGAAAGGATGTAGATAAACTCTTCGTCAGCATCGTGGTAATGGTGGGTGGTGGAATCACAGCCGGTCTCTATGCGCACCAGATGGATGCCGATACGCTGCATGTCTGTGCCAGCAGTGAGGTTTTTTGTATGTCGGATGGCATTGTCGTTGAATTGGTGCTGGGTGCGGGTTTCGCGCTGCTTTTCGATATCAGCTGCGCGCAGCAGGTGTTTACTCATGGCCGGAATCCGCTTGTTGCAAACCCGAAGCATGTCGCTTTTTCAAGCCAAAAACAAAGTGTCTTCAGGTCAGCAGAGTTGTCAGTGTTTCCAGCAGACGCTGATTCTGCTCAGGTGTGCCAACAGTTATTCTCAATCGATTATCTAACCCCGGCGTATTGAAGTAACGCACCAGAATGCCAGCTTCTTTCAACAGGAGATAAAGTGCATTGGCGCTCTTAGGCAGCGCCGGCGGCACCTCAACCAGCAGGAAATTAGTCTGGCTGGGTGGTGATGGTAAGCCGAGCTGGGTGAGATTCTGCTGCAGGCTGTCTCTGGCCATCCGCACCTGATGCCAGGTCTGTTGTGCATAATCCTGGTCGTTGATGGCGGCCAGTCCAAGTGCCTGTGCGATATGATCGACATTGTAGCTGTCACGGGTTTTGCGGATGATCGGGTCGATCAGATCCGTGTTGCCTAACAGATATCCCAAGCGGAGGCCGGCGAGACTGTAACCCTTGCTGAAAGTGCGCAGGACCAGCACATTGTCATGGTTTAAGAGTAATTCCGAGCTGTTGTAATTCAGGTCGGGGTTAATGAAATCTGCATAGGCCTCATCAATCAACAACACACCATTCAGATTGTTTGCTAACTCAGATAATTTTGCCTGTGAATACAGCGTGCCGCTGGGCGCGTGAGGATTGACCACACAGGTCAGTTGCACGCCGGCACTGTTGAGTTGGCTGGTGAAGTCCGCGGGCCAGTTCCAGTCAGCCTGCAGGTCAACGGTAACCACCCGGGCGTCATGTATGGCGGCAAGTACCGGATACAGCGAGTAGCTGGGATTGGCCATGCCAAAAGACTGGCCAGGGTCAACAAAGGTGGTGATCGCCAGGCGCAAGGCTTCGTCACCCGCGTGAGTCACGACCACATTATCGCGCGTAAGGCCATGTGTTTGGGCTATCGCGTCGCGCAGTAAATCCGCCGTTGGTTGCGGATAGGTGCGTAACCGCGAAACATCAATGCCCACCAGTGCCTGTTGTACGGCTGGCGAAGGCGGATAGGGGTTTTCATTTGTGTTGAGTTTGATCGTCCGGGTATCCTCGGGCTGTTCGCCCCAGGTATAACCCTGCATCTGCGCAATGTTCGGCCTTTCGTGGCGACTCATGTGCGACTGTTGTCCTGGTCTTTTTCATCACCTGCATCAGCCGTGTCAGAAGCCGCTTTGATGATCTGTGCCTGTGTCTCATCCAGTGGCGGCAACGCATCAGCTGGACCTAACAGGTGAGCGATCCAACGAGTATCGGGATTGGCTTCAAGAGCAATTTTTGCCGTCATGGTCAGCGGCACAGACAGCAGCATGCCAACCGGCCCGAGCACCCAGCCCCACACAACCAGGGAGAGAAACACCACTAAGGTTGATAGCCCCAGGCCGCGACCCATAAAGCGGGGTTCAACCGCGTTGCCCATGATGATGTTGATGGCCAGGAAGCCTGCGGCGACCGCGCCAGCTGCGCCAAATCCAATCTGCACTAAAGCCAGGATAAGCGGAGGTACGGCTGCAATTATTGAACCTATGGTCGGAACATAATTGAGTAGAAAAGCCAGCAGCCCCCATAAAATAGGGAAGTCGACCCCCAGCAGCCAGAGGAACAGCGTCACAATCACGCCGGTGGCTACACTGACACTGGTCTTGATACCAATGTAGCGATTGACGTTTTCAGCAAACTGCGCGAAGTAAGGCAGATCCCGTTCTGGGTCGTTAAGCACATCTGATAGCTTGCGCGGAAAGCTGGCGGCTTCAGCAAGTATAAAGATCACCGTCAGCAGGATAAGAAAACTGTTACTCAGAACACCACCCAGACGTGCCAGCGTGGTACCCGCCATTTCCAGCGCAGTGTTCAGCGAAAAATTCTGATACAACAGTTCCAGTCTGACCTCGATCCCGGTGCGATCAATAATCGGCTGCAGCAAGCGGTTGGTGTCTTCCTGAAAAGCCTGCAGACGCTCCTGGTAGAACGGCAGTTTGGCGGTGAAGTCCGAGGCGGATTGAGTTACCAGGGCCCCTAACAGAAATACCAGCAGAACAATGAAGATCATGACAACAGGCAGAGAGAAAGCTGCGGGCAGGCCTTTTTTCTGCAGCCAGAACATGGGTGTTGCAGCGATAGTGGCAATAAAAGCAGCCAGTAAAAACGGCACCATAAGATCTTGAGAGGCTTTTAAGCCGGCAGCAATCACGACGATGGCCGCCAGCACGATGATGCCACTGCCCCGGAATTTTACTGAATCAGACATGCGCGCAGCCTACGTGAAGTGTCTGCGATTGGCGAGGCTGGGGATCTCGGAGCGAACCTGAAGGGTTTGTTCCGGGTCCACCTCCGCAATCACGTAGCCGTCACCGTCAGCCAGTTCAGCAACCACCTTGCCCCAGGGGTCGACGATTAACGAATGCCCGTAAGACGCGCGATGTCTGCTGTGCTGGCCATGTTGCGCGGGTGCGATGACATAACTCTGAGTTTCGATAGCGCGGGCCTTGAGCAGGGTATGCCAGTGCAGGGCTCCGGTGGTGGCGGTAAATGCTGAAGGCACTGACATGGCAATAGCACCCTGATCGGCAAGATTCTGATAAAGCATGGGAAACCGGACGTCGTAACAAACCGTCAAACCCAATCGACCAAACGAAGCGTCTACAACTACCGCCAGTTCTCCAGCTTCGGTCTGGCGTGACTCCTGCAGGGTTGGGCCGTCTTTAATATTGACGTCAAACAGATGGATTTTGCGGTACATCGCTTTGATGTTGCCATCTCGGCCCAGGTATACGCTGGTATTGAAACACTTGTCTGAGTTTGGTGACGATTCATGGAATCCGCCGAGGAGTAATTCGCAGTTCAAACGTTGCGCGAGCTGAGTGCAGCGATGAAAGATCGGTCCTCCGTCTGGTAGTGCCTCCAGTATCTCGCGTTTGCCGTCATGGCGGCCCAGATAAGCAAAGGCTTCCGGCCAGGTGATCACATCTGCACCTTCGCTGGCCGCCTGTTGTGACAGGGACTCCAAAGTGGCTAGATTTTTTTCCACATCGGTGGTTGCACAGTGCTGCACAACAGCAACTTTCTGTTTGGAGGCAGCCGGTAGTTGGCTTGTCATAGTTCAATCAGCTGGCTAGAAGTCCGCGGATTTTAGCCAGTAATTGCTCTGAGTTCAGCGGTTTTTCGAATATACCGGCCAGTTCCGCTGACGTGAGTGCGCTCTTGTCCAGATTGTTGGCGTTACCGGTTGTCAGCAGAATAGGCAGATCTGGGCGCAGCGCGTGGATGTCTTCAGCCAGTTCCAGGCCCGTACCTTGTGGCATCAGATAGTCTGTGATCACCAGATCAAAAGCATCCGGATTTGCTACAAATGTTTCTAAAGCTTCCGTAGGCATCGTCGCAAAGGTGGTGTGATAAGCCTCATTTTCAAACAGCGATTGCAGATAGCTCGCAACGGATGGGTCGTCTTCAATCAGTAAGATGCGTTTGTGTGTATCTGTTGCACCCAACGCCACGGTTGCATTGTGTGGCAGGTAGATGGTGAACCGCGCCCCGCCGTCCGCGCGATTGCTGGCATGTACGTGACCGCCATGTTCGTGCACGATGCCGTGCACAACCGACAGCCCCAGCCCTGTACCTTGACCTACTTCTTTACTGGTTTGGAATGGCGTAAACAGGTTCTCTGCGCTGCCCGATATACCGGCGCCGTTGTCTTCGATTTTGATTGCGATGTAGTCGCCGTTGAAACGCGTCAGGCACGAGGTACAGCGCAAACCTTGCAGCTTTTCCTCTTCGAGGTAGATATCAATCTGGCCGCGGTTGTCCGTTGCCTCTGCTGCATTGATAGATAAGTTAACCAGCACCTGCTGCAGCTGTTCAGGGTCGATTGATAAACGTACAGACTGCTGCGGGATATGTGTTTGTATTTTTACAGTGGCTGGCAGGCTGCCTCGGAGTAGCTCGCCGGACTGTTCCAGAACCTGGCCAAGGTTGAGTTCACGAGGTGCTGAACTGGTGCTGCGACTGTAGGTGAGCAGCTGTCTTACCAGATTAGCGCCACGTTCGCCCGATTGTTGGATCTCACCAATGTAACGCAGCAGCGTAGCCCGGTCTGAGGCGGCAGTTTTGTCCCGCGCCAGTTCGGCGAAGCCGAGAATGCTGGCGAGAATATTGTTGAAGTCGTGGGCAAAGCCACCGGCCAGTTGGCCGATGGTTTTAAGTTTCTGCGCCTGTTGTAGAGACTTCTGTAACTGGCGATGTTCTTCAGCCAGAGCCGAGGCGGTGCGTAATTCGTGATTACGCCTTACCAGCTCCTGGGATTGGTTGAATGCGGCAAAACGAGCTTCTTCGTTGGCGCGCAGCTGTCTTACCAGCCCGGCAGCGAGGAGTATCAACTCTGCCAGTGAGCCAATGTGAATGCCATGTTGCAACATCGGGTGTGGCGCCAGCCAGCCCATCAACATACTCATGTGGGAAAATGCACCGATAGCAAACACGCCATTAGCGGCGAGAAAGAGCCCGCCGTTGCGTATGCCTTTCAAGGATGTGTTGATGCCAATAAACAGCAGTGCGGACAGCACCACAAAGCTCATGATTGTTTGCAGCACATAAGCATTGTTACCCGGCCACAGGATGACCATGAACATAGTCAGCCCCGTCATCCCTTGTATCGTTCTGCGGATCAACCGGCAGTGTCTGATGTGGCTGGTGTTGAGGAAGCGGTTGGCGAACTCAAGTAACCAGATAAAACCCAACCCCCACCCCAGGCCAATAACGTAATCCTGGATGATGGGTGTTTCGTTCCACAGAAAAACCGCGCCGGTGCCGTCTGCAGTTGATAAGAATGCGACCAGGGATCCGGCATACAGAGTGTAGTACAGGTAAGCTCTGTCGCGGGTGCCAAAAAAGATCGCCAGGTTGTACAGAATGATGATAAGCAAACCACCGTAGTACATGCCGTGGAAAGCGGTGAGCTTTGTGCTTCTGGCGGTAAACGCCGCAGCCGCGGACAGGGTCACTGGAAAATAAGACGCCGATAGAGCGTGATCGTAGATATAAACTTCGTCGACGTTTGAGCGCAGGCCCACCGCAAAATTGGTGCTGCCGATGGGGCGATTCACAGCAGGTCGGCGATTACCCATCTCGTATTTTTCGTGGACGACCCCATCTGATAGTGAATACACATCGATGGCCGCAAGCCACGGGTTTTCGATACTGAAGGCGCGTACGTAATCGACTGCAGGGATCTGGTAACGCAACCATTTCGGCTGGCTGTCATAGGAAAATGATGCGATCCCGGACCCTTTGATCCAGCGCTTGCTGCGCTGTGCCTCTGCCAGAGTAGCTGCATTCTCAGCAGGCAACACTTCCCAGGGAACGTCCCAAGTTATCTCAGTCTTGCTCTGAGCAGAGGCGTTTGTGCCAAAGAAGGTCACAATACCCAGAAACAGGCAAAGTGAAACAATGCTTATGAGCAAACGGTTCAGAAGTACTCCCCAATATAAAACGATATCTGAATTCAACCGGTGCTTAAAACGTCCATTGACCGGCTCAGATAACCTGCGTTCCTGCAGGCAGACTTCAAGCTGCGCTTATGCGGGCAGCTCTGGAATAGTGCAGTCTACCTTCATGCCCAGGTATTGCTCAATGGGCTGCAAGTTGAAGGCGTCGTCTTCAGAAACAAAACTGATGGATGTACCCGTTGCGCCGGCTCGCCCGGTGCGGCCGATACGGTGCACATAATCTTCCGGGTCTTCCGGCAGTTCGTAGTTTATGACGTGTGTAACGCCATCGACGTGAATCCCACGGCCGGCCACATCTGTGGCCACCAGGAATTTCAAGCTACCTTCTTTAAAGCGATTTAAGGTCGACAGACGTTTGCGCTGGGGCACGTCACCTGCCAGGGCCTCACAATCAATGTTGTTGTTCTGCAGGTATTTGACAACTCTGTGTGTCTGATCGCGTCGATTGGCAAAAATAATTGCGCGTTCCGTGTCGGTATTACGCAGCAAATTCAATAAAGCGCTGTCTTTTTCGTCTCGTCCGATCATCCAGAATTTCTGGTCGACCGTGTCTGTCGCCACACTTTCAGGCTCGATAACAATATGTTCTGCATCAATGGTCCAGGATTCCGCCAGGCGCATGACGTCATCGTTAAAGGTCGCGGAGAAAAATAACGTCTGACGGGTTCGTTTGTGTGGGGTCTGAAAGACAATACGGCGCACATCTGGGATGAAACCCATGTCCAACATACGGTCGGCTTCGTCGATAACCAGCACTTCAACATGTTTCAGCGAAATCTTGTTGCGGTCTAAAAAGTCGATCAGACGACCTGGGGTAGCCACCAGCAGGTCGACGGGTTTCTTTTCAAGTTTGTCGAGCTGCTTCTGGAAGTCCATGCCACCGACAACACAGACGGTACGTTCGTCCATGTACTTGGTCAGGCCTTTGGCATCACCTTCTATCTGCAGCGCTAATTCTCTGGTTGGAGCCAGGATCAGTGCTCTGGGACATCCCAGTGGGGGAACTTCTTTTAATGGGTTTTCCCAGAAGCGTGTCAGCACGCCAATCAGGAAGGCAGCGGTTTTACCGGTGCCGGTCTGCGCCTGTCCCGTGACATCGTAGTCTGACAGCGCAAACGGCAACGTCTTACTTTGTATTGGGGTGCAATACTCGTAGCCCAGATCTGCAATGGCCTGCATGAGCGGCATAGGCAGGGCAAAGTCGTGAAAGCGATCTTTGTCCGCGACTTCGGGTACTGCAAATTCTTCTAGCTTCCAATCGGACATATGACCTTCAGGGTTATGATTTCATTTGTTCACGTACACTCACCAGTTTCACACACAACGTGAGGATTTGCATGGCAGTCCGCAATTCTTCGATGGATGCAAAAGTGGGTGCAATACGTATGTTGCAATTATCTGGATCCTGCCCATAGGGGTAGGTTGCGCCAGCGGGGGTAAGCGTCAGGCCGACGTCTTTGGCCATGCTTACAATCGTTTGCGCAAGCCCGGGATTAACGTCTAAGGAGACGAAGTAACCGCCACCGGGTTTGGTCCACTGCGCGATATCGAGATCACCGAGTTCTTTGCTTAAGGTGTCTTCGACAATTTCAAATTTTGGTTTCAGCAGCGCGGCGTGAGCCTGCATATGTTGTTCCAGGCGACCGCCCAAAAAACGGGTATGACGCAGCTGATTAACTTTGTCGGGGCCGATCATCATGAAGCCCAGGCGTTCTTCCAGGGCTTTAAGTACGCGCTCACTTGAAGCAACAAAGGCAACGCCTCCGCCGGCAAAGGTGATTTTCGAGGTGCTGGCAAACTGAACGATATGATCCGCGGTACCGGCTGCCTGGGCGGCATCGAAGATAGATTTCAACGCCTGTCCGGGAAAGTTGAAGTCGTGCACGGCATAGGCGTTGTCCCACAATACAACAAAGTCGTCTGCCGCTGCAGCATCTGGCAATGCAGCCATCTCGTCGACGACCACGTCGCTGTAGATACAACCCGTCGGGTTCGAATACTTCGGTACACACCAGATGCCTTTGATTGATGCGTCGGCGCTTGCCAATGCGCGAACCTGTGCCATATCCGGACCGTCAGGCCCCATGGCGACAGGTATCATCTCGATGCCCAGAGACTGCGTAAGCGCAAAATGCCGGTCGTAGCCCGGTGCCGGGGCCAGGATTTTAACAGGATTGGAGTTGGACCATCGTCGCTGATCACCCCAAAGGCCATATGTCAGTGCTGTTGCAGTCACAAGATGCATCAGGAATAAGCTTGAGTTACCGCCTGCGATAATGTTCGCGGCCGGCACGCCCATGAGTTCTTCACCCAGAGCGCGCCCATCAGCAATCCCTCGAATTTCACCATAGTTGCGTACGTCGGTACCGGTGCTGTCGAAATAGTCACCGGCAATCACGTCTTCCATTTTGTCAGAGAGTGCAACCTGGTCGGCTGCGGGTTTGCCGCGGCTCAGGTTCAGCGCTACCGGGTTGCCTTTGATAAGTTCATATTCCCGGTTCAGCTCGGTATGCAGCTCGGATAGTTGTGTCTGCGTGAAGTCAGATAATCGTTTTGATTGACTCATAATCCGGTTTTTTCCTCGAAACCTAACATCAGATTCAAATTCTGCACGGCTGCGCCGGCTGCGCCTTTGCCGAGATTGTCGTAACGCGCGACCAGCAGGTACTGATCATCATTGCCAAACACCATCAGCTGCATGTTGTTAGTGTCGTTGCAGACTGTTGGATTCAAGAATCCGTCGATCAACATACTGTTGTCCAGTGGCAGGACGCTGACAAAAGATTCACCTGCATATCTGGCGGTAAGTATATCGTGAAGTTCGGATTTGCTGGCATGACCAACTTCCTGACGAAACAGCGGAATCTGTACCAACATGCCTTTGTAGTAGTTTGCCACCATGGGCGTGAACAAGGGGGCATCGCGCGTTGTGCTGTAGTGGTGCATCTCAGGCACATGTTTGTGCTGCAGGGTTAACCCGTAAGCCTGACTGTTGTATTGGTCTTGCTGGGTGCGGTCAAATGCGCGGAACTTTTCTACCATCTGTCGGCCGCCCCCCGAAAAGCCTGATACCGCATGACAACGCAGGCTAGTGGCCGCTGCCAGTAAACCAGCTTCGATGAGGGGTCGAGTCAGCAGAATAAAACCCTGCGGGTAACAACCTGGGTTGCTGACATATTGTGCGCTTTGGATGTGCGATCTCTGCTGCGCGTTGAGTTCGGGTAAACCATAAACCCAGTCTGGATCGGTGCGGTAGGCGGTTGAAGCGTCCAGAATCCGGGTTTTACCCGCGGCCAGCGCAACGGCTTCACGTGCGGCGGTGTCGGGTAAACACAGTATGGCGACATCTGCACTTTGCAGGTACTGGCGCCGTGCATCCTGATCTTTGCGCTCGGCATCACTGATTTTCAGCAGTTTTAGATCTTTGCGTGGTGCCAGGCGACTGGTAATTTCCAGTCCAGTTGTACCTGCTTGCCCGTCGATAAAAATAGTGGCCATAGTAGTGCTGATGGGAAAGTGTGTTCCCGTTAAATTTGGCGCGGAAGTGTACGGTGTCGCCCCGCGTAAGTTAACTAAAATATTAAACCACCAGGCGCGCAAGGCTGCGCTGTGCTAAGTGTATTCAGGTGTCCAGCGTGCGCCAGAAGCGGCGTAATAATTGCCAGCAGAGCCACAGTGTGGCAATCGGAAGCAGTAACGTCTGCAGCAGAAAGATAACAATCAGGTTAATCATTTCTTCGATGCTGTTTTCCACCTGTTGCTCCATCTCGTTGAGTTGGGCTTTGAGGTCCAGGGTCTGGCTCGAACTGTCGAGGAACTCACGTATGCCGGCGGCAGTGCGATCAAACAGGTCAGCTTCCATATCGGCGGGTGCGGCTGCAATCTCGTTGTCCTGCATGCTCTGGATATGCGTTTTGGTATAGCTCAAGTTATCCATCGCCTCATTTTGTCGGGCGTCGAGAAAATAGGTGTCCAGCAGATGGGTTGCCAGCAGCATAACGGCAAGCATAAACCGGAGAAATATAACCAGGCCCAGAAATTTGCCCAGCCACGGAGCTCGTGTTTGTTGTAGATGATGTGGCGTTCGCCAGAGCATTATCAGATAGGCCAGACCGGCCATACTCAAAATGCCGGATAGCCATGGGGAGGCAAACATTTCGCTTAAAGTCAGCTGTACACCCAGAGCAACGCTGGCAATCAACGCCAGGGCGGAAAAACGTTCAACCAGATCATTCAGTGGATCGAGGATCTGGCCCAGGGTTAAGGTTACGCCCACGCCGACCGGTGCAATGGCTACTTCGGTGCCCTGAGCGACAGATATAACGCCATTAAAGCCTCTAGCGATGGCGGCAACCGCCAGCGCGCGCTGGAAATTATCCAGCGTAGCGCTGCGCGCAGCATGATCGAGTTGGCCGCTCCAGGAGAGGCTGATGATGGCGATCAGAACAACGCTGACCAGCCCTTTTATCCAGACTGTTTGGTTAGGCAAATATAGCTAAGCCATCTGCCCCACATTCTTCTGCGAGGAGTGCGAGGACGATGTCTGTTTTTGACTCAGGAACAGTGATTCTAACTTTTCTGCGATCACATTGGCTAAATTAGTACGATCCAGCTCGGACATGTTGGGAATAGACTTTGGATGGACGCGATGCAGGTGTAATACCGGCCAGGATTGCTGGAGTTCACGCAAATCACCCTTGGCCAGCACTGGTAAAAAAGGGTCGCTCTCCGGGCGGGAGGCGATAATGGCGCGCAACCCTTCGACAAACGGCACCTGTCGGCGTCCCAGTGACCGGTCCTCGTCGACGTTGGCCAGATACAGACCTTCGCGGTCAATCAGTTCGCCAGGAATGATATTGAGCCCTGTCGCGGTAATGGCTGACCGGGAGACGTGGTAAAAAGTGTCATGGTAGGCGGCAGCATCAGGCAGGATGACCAGTTTACGATCCCAGTCATCCGGGAAAAACATGTTGTAGGTGCTGTAGATCTGTTCAACCGAGGGTGAATAGACGCACAGGGTGGTTTCAAACTGGCGCACGAAATCCATTGCTCGCTCAGCTTGCGTAAATTCGTCCAGATCCCAGGCGAGATCAGAATTACCCGGCAGTTCAGTAGACATAGCACATCCTTTTGTCGCTATAGTCCAGTGTACTTGGGTCTGTGTTCAGCTTTGAGGGGCGTCTGAGTAGAGTGTGAAGCACGGCACATTTTTGCCGTCCTAAATTCACGAATCGGCTGCCCGCGCAGCGTCGGCGTCCAGTTCGTTCAGTGAAATATCTGCATAATATCTTCGCGCCAGGTGGATGAAGCGTAGCGTTTTACCTGCGTCAAACCACTGTGTAAGTATCAACGCCTTTTGTCCGGGAGTGGGATACTTTGCCTGCAGCTTTGGTATCAGCTGTTCAATGCCCAGTTCACCCAGCAGTCGGGTCGCGCGATCGTCTGCCAGTTCAGCGCCGGCAGCGACCGCCTGCAGATGTCTGAGCGCGGTGGCGAGTAGTTTAAAACTGTCCGGGTGATACGTCGTAAAAAAAGCGCCGCTAGAGTCGCGCTCGAAGCCTTGCATAATTTTCTGCAGGGCGGGTCCAGTGCCAAATGGTACACGGTGGGAAAGGCGGGCCTGAATACTTACCGTCACTTCCGGTTTGCAAGTCACCTGACTGACTTTGGCAATCTTGTCGAGCAGATAGAAATCTTCTGCGCCACTGCGTTTTGGAAATCCTCGTACCAGCGCGTAGTCCTGCACATGAACAGCCATAGTGCTACCCAGGGTAGGATAGGCGTAGCGGGAGCCGGCCTGTTGCAGGCCGTGAACGTAGTGATGCATGTGCCGTTCGTAAAAGTTGGCAGCTTTCTGCATCAGCGGATCCGGACTGTTGTGCCGGAAAGCAAACACAACCGCACCGCGAGCTGGAAGTTTTGTCGAAAAGTAGTTTGGAGGTAAAACGCTATCGGCGTCGCATTGGTATAGCCATGGACAGCTGATTTTACCTGTCAGCCACAAGCGACAGGCAGCATCGTTACCAATCTTGCGGGCTAGGCCAACCCCTTGCTTTGTCGGCAGCGGATGGCTGACCGCATCGATCGCCCAACAATCTACCGGGCAGATAGCCTGTGCTGTCTGCAGCAGAGCCTGGGTGCGCCTGCGTTCGGTGTTCGAAGCGCCCGCCGGCGCGTTGACAACCGCGATAACCAGTATTTTCAGGTGTGTATTGTTTTGCAGCAACCGCGCCAGAGATTCAGGCGGTTCATCGAACATCGGCACTATAAGCACGAAGTCATAGTCGCTTTGGGGCAGATCGGGTGCGGCAGCTTCGGCGTAGCCGTCCAGATAGCGGGCAACGGCTGTTTGCGAAGATGTTGGTCGCGTCACAGGTCAGTGCAGAGCAGCGCGATACGGCAGGCTCAACATGATTTCAGACTCAGCCACTGTCAATTCGCGAAACCGGGCAGTGACCTCAGGCTGATCACAATGGCGCCAGGCGAGGGTGTAAAAAAGCGTCCAGTGCCGAGCTTCGCTGGCGGCTATGGCCTGGTAGAACTTCTGCAGCATCGGATCGGTTACCGCCTCAGCGATACAGCCGAATCGCTCAGCTCCGCGTCGTTCCACAATGGCGCCCAGCAGCAGGCGGTCCATCAGGAACACGTCTGCCCCTTTGCGCACCAGGCGATTCAGCGTGTTGACGTACGGATCTTTGGTGTCAGGTCTCGGGCTGACGCCGCGTTGTAACATCAGGCGAATGACTTCGCGATAGTGGCTCAGTTCCTCAACGGCAAGGTCGGCCATGGCGCTGAGCAGTTCCGGCTTGTCCGGATAGTGTGAAGCCATGCTCATGGCCATCCCTGAAGCCTTTTTCTCGCATGAAGCATGATCGGCGAGGAAGCAGTCGAAGTCGGCCAGGACGCTATCCAGCCAGGCTCCGGGGCTTGGTTCGAGTGGGTCGATCAGGGAAAAATCTGGTTCAACCATGTCGCGATATCTTGTATTTCCTGAGGGCAGACCTGGTGTCCCATGGCATATTCATGCCACTGCACAGCATAGTTCAAACCCAGCAGTGTTTCTCGTGCGGTGATGGCTCGGGTAATTGGGATCATCGGGTCGGATAGTCCGTGTGCCATGAAAATTGGCGTGTCGACGTTGGCAAAATCCAGCCGATTGGCAATATTTTCGTGGTCGTGCAGATAGGTGGACAAAGCCATGATGCCCGCCAGCTTCTTGTTATAGGCCAGTCCCAGATGCAGGGCGATAACACCGCCTTGAGAAAATCCTGCCAACACGATCTGGCTGGCGGGTATGCCTGCGTCGACTTCAGCCTCTATCAGCCTGGCAATGCCTGCAGCTGAGGCTTCGATGTCTTCACCGCCGGCCAATGGTGCGCCCGGGTCAATGTCGTACCAGCCACGCATTTCCGCGCCACCATTAATGGTAATGGGGCGTATCGGTGCATTGGGAAAGACAAACTTCAGGCTTCTATGCAGAGAAAGCATCGGCACGATCGGTTCGAAATCTGAAGCATCCGCCCCCAACCCATGCAACCAGATCACACAGCCGCTGGGGTCAACTCCGGTTTCAACCGTCAGACATTCAAGTTGTTCTGCCATACCATCAGTCCACAGAGTTATGTAAGAAGCTGGGCACCTTAGCGATAATTTCTTCTCTGCTCAATGAAACGATCAATGACAAGCTCGTGCAACTTGCCCCATGCGCAGCCATAATAGGACTATGGAAGATGGTTTAGATAGAGGCGGCAGTAAAGATCTGCGTCGGTTACACCCTGCGCTGGCATTTTTGCGCCCGTATCGCGCGCAGGTCGTATACGCAAGTATCGCTCTGGTCGTCACGGCGGGTGCAACCTTGTCTTTAGGGCAGGGTATCCGTCTGGTCATAGACAGTGGCTTTGCCAGCGGTGATGCAGATGTACTCGTCAACTCTTTAAGTCTGTTTGCGGCGTTTGTTCTGATATTGACCATCGGTACGTTTGTCCGCTTCTACTTTGTTTCCTGGGTGGGAGAGCGGATAAGTGCAGATATCCGCACTGCCGTATACAGTCATCTTGTGCACTTGCATCCCGGCTTCTTCGAATCCAATGCGCCCAGTGAAATCCAATCTCGTATCACCACAGACACGACGTTACTGCAGACCGTGATCGGTTCTTCAGTCTCGATTGCTTTGCGTAACATCCTGATGTTTATCGGCGGTGTGATTCTTTTATTTATTACCAACGCGAAGCTGTCTTTGATTGTGCTCGCCAGTGTCCCGTTTGTGGTGATCCCTGTGATTCTGTTCGGCCGCCGGGTACGTAAACTTTCCCGTACCTCTCAGGATCGCCTGGCTGATGTCGGCAGTTATGCCGGCGAGTCCTTGCGTCATATTAAAATTGTGCAGTCATTTAACCATCAGCAGGCGGATGAGGTGGCCTTTGCCAACCGTGTGGATCAGGCTTTCCATGTTTCGGTGCAACGTATTCGTCAGCGTTCATTTCTGGTGGCCATTGTCATGCTGCTGGTTTTCGGCGCGGTCGCGACCATGTTGTGGGTTGGTGGGCAGGATGTGTTAGCAGGCCAGACGTCGGCAGGAGAGCTTGCAGCTTTTATTTTTTACGCGTTCATAGTAGCGGGCTCTGTGGGTGCTATCAGCGAGGTGCTTTCGGATCTGCAACGCGCAGCAGGGGCAACGGAAAGGTTGGTTGAACTGTTGGAATCTCCCAGCGAAATTACGGAAATTTCTGCGCCGAAACCCCTGCGCAGCGACAACGTTGGCCTCAGTTTTGTTGATGTCAGTTTCAGCTACCCAACCCGTCCTGATGAGCAGGTACTGCACAACGTCAGTTTTAAAACAGAGCCCGGAGAGATGCTTGCTCTGGTGGGGCCCTCGGGTGCAGGTAAGAGCACAATATTTGACCTTATTGAACGTTTTTATGATCCAACGGCAGGTCATGTTGAGGTCAACGGCACAGACATTACACAGCTTAAACTGCAGGACTTGCGTCAGACGGTTGGTTTTGTACCGCAGGATCCAGTGCTGTTTGCCGGTACCCTGAGAGACAATCTGGTTTATGCCAATCCGCATGCCACCGACGCCGAGATCGCCCAGGCTTTACAGCTTGCTTACGCGGAACAGTTTGTTGCGGATTTAGCCTCCGGGTTGGATACCAAGGTGGGTGAGGGCGGTGTCGGTCTGTCTGGTGGGCAACGTCAGCGCCTGGCAATAGCGCGTGCGTTGTTGTCGAAACCAGCGGTGCTGTTGCTGGATGAAGCGACCAGCGCGTTGGATGCAGAAAGCGAAAACCACATCCGCTTGAGTATCGATGGGTTAAAAGGTCGGATGACTATTCTGGTGATTGCTCATCGGCTGTCCACGGTCAGGCAGGCAGATCGAATACTGGTGCTTGAGAGCGGCAGGGTTGTGGGCAGTGGTTCACACGATCAATTGCTGAACTCATCTGCTTTGTATGCGCGTTTTGCACAAATGCAGTTTGCTGCTTAAGTTTCCCCTGCCTCGTCGCTTGATTTGTCGAACAGGCCAAGCTGATCTGCATCATTATCGCTTTTTAATTTTACCCCCACACCCAGCAGGCGGACGGGTTTAGCCTGTCTCTGCCAGGCGGTAGAAAATAATTGTTCGTAGTCCTGCACCCTGGTGGTGAACCCTGTGCTGGCAACGGTTGTTGTCTCAAAACCAGTAAATCGTACTTTCATGAAGCGCCCGGCAATCTGGCTTCGGCAGTTGGCGCGGGTGATTCGAGCTTCTAATTCGGCAACCAGCAAGGTCAGTGCTGCCAGGCACGCTGGCTGGTCTGGTAGATCCTGCGCGTAAGTGCGTTCAGCTGAGAGAGACTTGCGTTTGCGGTGAGTTTTCACTTCCCGCTCGTCAATGCCACGACTCAATTCGAACAGGCGTATCCCAAACTTACCAAAGTGGCGGGTCAGTTCAGTAACGGGTTGTTCCCGCAGATCGCCACAGGTCAGTAAACCCAGGCGCGCCATTTTTTTGGCGGTCACAGTGCCGACGCCAAACAACTTTTCCACCGGCAATTGTTCGACAAAGGTGGCCACTTCATCTGGCGTAACCGTGAACTGGCCATCGGGTTTGTTCCAGTCCGATGCAATTTTTGCGAGGAATTTGTTGGGCGCGATTCCGGCTGAGATGGTGATGCCCACTTCGTTGCGTACGCGATTGCGTATTTCTGTGGCGATCAGGGTTGCGCTGCCCTGGGCGATTGTGCAGTCGCTAACATCCAGAAAGGCTTCGTCCAGCGATAGTGGTTCTACCAGGTGTGTGAAGTCGTGAAAAATCTCTGAAACCCTGGCTGATTCCTGCTGATACTTGCGCATATTCGTGGGCACGATGACCAGATTCGGGCAGGCGCGCATCGCTTGACTCATTGGCATCGCAGAATGCACGCCGTATGCGCGAGCCTTGTAATTGCAGGTTGCAACCACACCTCTTTTGTTGGGGCTGCCACCTACCGCAATTGGTAGATCTTGGAGTTCCGGATTATCCCGCATTTCTACTGAAGCATAGAAGCTGTCGCAGTCGCAGTGAATGATTTTTCGCATCAGCTAACCCTATCTCAAAACAAACTTTGAGAGCAGACCAACAAAAACGTTTAATCGAATTGGTTTTTGCTGGGCGTATTGGTTTAGAATGCGCCCCGTCCAAAACGGTCGGCTGGATACATTTAGCTTAAGTGGCATTGGAAATTGAGCTGAAACCGACACGTAAATGGACCCGAAGATAAGAAAATAGAATTATAAAACACAGACTGTGCTCCGCGCGTAATGAACAAAATCGGCGCATTTTTAAAGTTGAGGTAAACATATGGGTCCACTATCGGGGTTCAAAATCATCGAGTTGGCTGGAATAGGTCCTGGTCCTTTTTGCGGCATGATGTTGTCCGACATGGGGGCCGAAGTCATCCGAGTGGAGCGTATCAGCGGCGCAGACAAGGCGCCAAAGGACGTGCTGGCGCGAAATCGCCGTTCAGTTGCCCTCGATCTGAAAAGCCCGGAAGGTGTAGAAACAGTTTTACGTCTTGTCGAGTCAGCCGACGCTTTATTTGAGGGGTTCCGCCCTGGTGTAACAGAACGCCTGGGGTTGGGGCCTGACGTTGTACTAGCGCGCAACCCTAAACTGGTCTACGGCCGGATGACGGGTTGGGGGCAGGAAGGTCCGATGGCACAAGCTGCGGGGCACGACATTAACTACATCGGTTTGTCCGGTGCGCTGCATGCGATTGGCCGCCAAGGTGAACGTCCCGTGCCCCCCCTTAATCTGGTGGGTGACTTCGGCGGCGGCGGCATGTTGTTGGCTTATGGTCTGGTCTGCGGCATGTTGGAAACCCAACGCTCAGGCAAAGGCCAGGTTGTGGATGCCGCGATGGTAGATGGATCCGCTGCTTTAATGGCCATGTTCTTTTCGTTTGCAGCATCTGGTGCGTTCACCGACCAGCGGGGCACTAACCTGCTGGATGGCGCGGCTCATTTTTACGACACCTATGAAACCAAAGACGGTAAACATGTCTGTATTGGTTCGATCGAACCGCAGTTTTATGCGTTGTTGATTGAAAAGGCCGGTCTGGATCCGGAAAAATACGCCAAGCAGATGGATCCAACTCAGTGGCCTATTTTGAAAGCGGACCTCACTGAAACGTTCAAGACCAAAACCCAGGCACAATGGTGCGAGATCATGGAAGGTACTGACGTCTGCTTTGCGCCGGTATTGAGCATTTTTGAAGCACCCGAACATCCGCACAACAAAGCACGAAATAGTTTTATGGAAGTCGATGGCGTTATGCAGCAGGCACCTGCGCCCCGCTTTTCCAGAACTTCCCCCGAAATTTCTCATGGCGCTAGAGTGCCTGGTCAAGACACGTTATCTGTCTTACAGGATTATGGCTTCAGCACTGATGAAATAGCCGCGTTGCAGGCTGAAGGCGTTATCGCCGGCTAGCTGCACGCATCGACTCGATCAAGTCGACAATTAAAACAGTCCCACGACAATAAAGAGAAGGAACACAAATGAGTGTAGAACTTTTAGACAACCCGCGTTTTCATGGTTTCAGAGTACGCCGCCAGATTGATGGCAAAACCTACCAGGAGTATTTTTCGCTGAAAGAAAATGGCAAACGCCTGCGTGGTGCAAAACGCGCTGCCGTTAAAGAGATCGCGGAAAAACGCGATGCAGAATTGTCAGGGCTGCAGCAGAAAAGCAAAGACAAAGCAGATAAGGAAATTCAGCTGGATGATAACGGACAGGTCAAAGGTATTCTTTGCCGTCTGAAGAAAGAGAAAAGCGGCACCATGACGCCGGTTTTTCAGGTTGGCATCATGTCTCGCGTCAGCGGCAAGATTGTGAACACGACAGTATCTCTGAACAAGCATGGTATACCTGGTGCCTGGGAGAAAGCGGTAGATTTTTACTGCACTCACAAACAAATCAGCAAACGCTCAAAAATCTATAAAGATCTGCTGGCACGCTGTCCTAA